TTTATTTTTTAGCGCCTTTGCTTGAAAAAATAAATCTTTGTTCCTATTGGTGAGGTTTTCGGAAATGAAAACTTTAGACATGTCTTTAATATTAGATGTATTTGAAGCAGCCTTTAAACGTTTGCGGTTTTCGAAAATCTGATGTCGAATTCTTCGGTTAGTAAATCGAGCAATAATAGGAGGGTGGTTTTTCGGATTTCTTGTAGGGAAGCGATGAGTAAAAGAAATATCCCTTGGCTGGATATTCACCTTGGTGAGTTTTGAAATCTCTAAAACCAGTTCGTCGGTGTTTTCATTTGCTAAGGGTGGGACTCCGTGAAACTCCAGGTTTTCGAGTCTGGAGCGCCGTTCCTGGTCTTCAGTGTGCTCGGATAAATACCAAAGATCTTCTTCAAGATCCAGGATGCGTTCTTCTAAGCATTGAATTTTTTTATTTTGATATTTTAGTTGGTCATCCATATTTTTTTGATGTTTTAATATGTCATCAAACTTTTTAGATTGAAAGTCCTGGGACTCTCTGATGACAGATAGTTCATTTTTAATTTCCTTCAAGAACTTATTTTGATTGTCCATAAATTCTTTTAATCCTGGACTCAAGGGTAAATACTCTGATGAGTTGTTAAAATTCTCAGAGATGCAGCGAGCAATGATGCTTGGAAGTTGAATTTCAATGTTCTTTTGAATATTTTCCTGAATCTTAGTCAAGCTCAGAGAGGAAACAGGTGGTGTTAGTTGTTTCTCTTCACTATGGCCTGAGTAGGATGTGGAAGATGAACCAGGTAAAGATGGTATTATTGGTGACAGACCAGGATCCGGTGGACTGGATTTGCTTGTTGGATTTGCTTGTCTAATAGTTGAGTGAACCAATGAAGCAAAGTTTAAAAGTACATAAAAAAATATTATTTATCAGGTAATACTTTTACAATGTTATATAAGAGTATAATGACAATCAGATAAACAATTTAGGCTTTACTGACTGCAAGAGAAAACAAGTCACAATGTTATGCTAATTGACCAAGATCTTGAGCAGATGGGCTTAGAATTTCAATGTGGTTAAATTCGTACAAAGCTTCATGGACCATCTCAAACATAAGAAAAGTAGTTTACTATATTGTGCAGGTTACGAACAAATACAGGTCATGCAATTAGCATGGCACACTTTACATAATTTAAATCACTGGCAAGAATGCAATAAGATGAGGACATGAAAAAATTGAAAAAAAAAAAAAATATTATTACAGGTATAGGCCTAGCGGAGCAAGCGGGAAAGAGTGCTGAGGCCACATCATTTGGATGCAATCACAGCAGACTGGTAAGGGACAGCAAGAATTTTTTATATTTTGTTTTGAAAGTTTCATAAGAAGAGTCACGTAAGATTTGGGGAATACTATTCACCGAATGTCATATCGAGCTCGGATGTCATAAAACCGCCGAGATGAGACTTTGATTTATTGGACACGTAGTGGACATAACGATCGTTTCAATAATATGTTGTTCTTTGACACGTTTTTAAAAAGTCGCTTTTTTCTTCGAATACTGGACCAATTGCTTTAAAATTTTCAGTGGTTAAAGATAAAAATTTTCTCCAGAAGGCTATTACTTTTTTTTCGCTATGACGTCATCAAAATTATGTGACTCTACGTGTCCATATATTTGAGCATAACTCTCTTGTTTATCATACAAACAAATGCTACCCGGTTAAATTTCAAATCATTATATCGAAAATTTTAGACTTTTTATTAGGATCCTGCATCAGAAAACAAAAATAAAACGAGAAAGTACGGATTTAACAGTATGGATGTTGCCCCGACCTTTGACCCCCGGAAAATCCTTCCCATACCTCATCATTGCAAAATTTTTGATGCTCACATTAAGTGTGGTTTCGCAAGTAGCCGCCTATAAACTGGTTTATAGGTTTCAAACAATCATTCTGATTTCAAATATTCAACCACCTATCATCTGAAAGCACCGGTACAAAGGTCTAGTCTAGTCTATCACAGCTATTTTCAGAGTAATTTATTATTGCTGCAAGTCAAATAAAACTCCTACGAAAACAAAAGGATCATCGAGTTATTTGATTCATATATAAATTCCTGAAACCAAACAAATAGCATGCAAGAACACAAAAACGAGGTAATGTTTACAGCCATGCCTGAAAATCTGTCTGAGTGACAGAAGCGTCTGCTAAAACTGTCTTGTTACGTCACTTTTTGCATCTTGCTGATTAGCCACTGTTACGGTAGTAAACAAGAAATGTTTGCATAATCACAGCCGAAATGGTTTTTGTTCATTTATTATATGTTTCCCAGAATTTTCACGTTTACGTTCTTTACTTATCAGTGGCTGATTTTCAAAATTTTAAACGAAGTGAAAAAGAACAGCTTTAATTTTACCTCACCATTTCAACGAGTTTCCCTATCACGATTTTGGTGAAACGCAAACCCAGGTTAAGGTGATTGACACTTGATAGTGTTTTGCGCTTCGATAATCGAAATATCTTATTCATTTAAAACCCATCCCACACGGAAAATTAAAAGTGGATGAACAAAACGACCTTAACACGGTCTCTTATGGCATATGTGGTTACCTAAGCATGAATGTTTATTATTTGTGGGTTTCAGGTTTCATCGTGAACGTTTTTGTTTTATCATTCTAATGAGCGTCCTATTTGGCCCTTTTCACTAGACTAGACCGTAAAATTCTGCCAGCAAGCTCTGAAATTAGTAAGACTGCACGTAAATGTCAAGTAAAATCCCCTCTTATTGAATGATACATTTTCCTCTTAGGATAGGATTTACATATTTATCCCGGGGAAGAGAAAAGCCGAGAAGACGGCTTAACCATATGGCGAACCACGGCCTCTCGTTCGGTTATCATTCCATGTCGGATATGGGATTAGTTAGTTATTTTGTTTTCGGAAGCATGGACTCTTTGGGAGTAATAATGATGTAATCTGGACTACAATTTGGCAATATTTTGGCATGTCTTTGGTGAATGAAAAGGTTTAGCCCACCTCTTCATGCACTCAATTTTGGTTGTGCAATTTGGCATTTGACTCCAATTATAATCAGATTGGCGAAATCATTTTTTTGTCCTTTTATTAAATACTGTTCACTCTTATTTGGGAATTTTTATAAATTTATCAAAATGGTGTGGCAAACAATTCCTATTATTTTTTACATTTGATCTTTAATTCTAATTTATTTTTTACGTGTTTATTTATTTATTTTTTTGGTTACCATATAATTTATATAAAGCTTCTCTCTTTTTTCTAATTTTATTAATGCCCTATGGTCGTGTGTGCGAGTGTGAATGATTTGATTCAATAGTTTTAGGTGAGTGAACACATACCACTTCTTTTTGGCAATACCTTTTCCATCTTATATCCTGTAAATTTTAAACCTTGTCCAAGGTTTTGTTTACTCTCCTAATTTCATAATCAGTTTTTATCAACTGTTTTATCGCCTTTTTGCTGATTATGGAGTCGAAATAAAACTTTATTTTATTTCCCACTTTATGCTTGCAAATTACACAAACTAGCACAAGATGGTTAGATTAAGGGCCAAATTAAAGTTCCAATCATGCAATTTGAAACAGATAATTAGTTGACATGCAGTTAGTAATATCGAAGCATCATGAACTGATTTGCAAACATATGCTTATAAGTCCATGCTTCCGAAAACCAATAACTGGCTAACTAATTCCATACTCGACATGAACTAGTAACCGGACGATCCATATGGTTAAGCCTTCTTATAGGCTTTACTCTCCACCTGGATAAATATGTAAATTCTATTTATGAAAGGTAAAGCCTGTGCGTTTAAACTTAAAGCTCCGTTCATATCGTCCTCCCACACCTGCATTTTTAGCGATAAAGGCACAAGTAGTATTTTGACACCGATAGTTGAAACAACACATTTTTTTTATTTATCGATTTCTCGCACCATTTCGTTTTTAATATCAATAAAAAGGTGCTATGCTCGTATTCGATGCGTCTCCTTATTGGCCCCGGCTGATGGAGAAGAGTGTCGACTTGTGCCATCTACTCCCGATGTGCGTGCACCAGGTTAGGGTTATCCCCAAATTTTTTTTCGATTTTCCTTATTTTAGTTCTATTACGAGTTTGGAGACTGTCTGTGATAGCCGATGCCGATAGGTTTCAGTCCCTTCACACAACTTGATCTAAAGTGAGTGAACAAAATTAGTTACCTCCATAGTCCATATTGGTACATATTCTTCTTGAGCGCCCCCTTTTATTAGTTCAGTGCTGTATTGGACTGCTAATGGTGTAATTTTGCATTGGGATATGCTATAATAATTACAGTGAGTTTTCGGTTGTTCCCGAAATTGTCTAACGAATCACTTTGATGAGGCTCTTATTGTTTCATTTCATGGACCATCTTGGCGAGGATCCCTCATTTTTCTCCTCTATAGCACTCTTATAGTTAGAACTGTGTATAGGATTTACATGTTCATACCGGCGGGAGATGGTAGCGGATAATTATCAAGGCGAACCATGACCTTTCGTCCGATTACCAGACCATGTCGAGTATGGGATTATTTATCCAGTTATTTGTTTAGCCTTAACCGACCAGCAGTTACTTTTACCACACTCACTAGAGAGGTGTCAAGCAATCCTCTCGCACATAACCATCCCCTGCATGGGTTTCTAACCTGAGGGTAATCAGAGGTGCCGTGGCAAGCATATTTCTCGCGCTAAACACAATTTGCCACACCGCCGAGCGTAAAACTACGAAAACAAGGCATTGAACTTTCAGAAAAATTCCATGCCTGGAAAAAAGAAGTTTCATACATTGACTTATGCTCGAATTTATATTAAGCAAGTTTGACACTTCGCTGGAACCAACCTTGGCAAGGTGTATTTTTTTTACCTAAAACCACCCCTATAATTAGCGATGTAATGGCAAGCGCGTTTTTTTTATCTTAGCACAATACGCCAACTTCAAGCCAAGTGCACACACTCCTAAAAGACACACATGGCACAAAGATTATTGTCATATTCTCACATACTTCTATTCCAGATCACAAAAACTTGTGGTGAACACTACATATAAAAACTAGCCAATCCAAGTATCATTACAACTGGGCATTTGCAAAAAATGTGGCTGCTGACTAAATTTGAGATGAACAATATTCAAAAAATTTGCCAATTTTTGCACAGAAAGCACATTTATACTACATTGACAGGATTCAAATTAAAATTAACGTAAAGACAGAATCCTATAACACGAACTATTCGAGTATGTCCAATCCTATATACAGCCAAACAGTTTTACTTTACATTGGAACCTTCCCAGACATAACAGCCTAAATATAAGTCAGTTTAGTATTCTGCTTTAACTTGTGTCCATTTCTTCTTGCACTGTTTCAGAAACGACGTCAAATTTCAACGGTTTGACAACTTTAGAAAGAACTGCAGTCGTGCCAGGTTTGAATTGATAGTCCCCTTGCCTATGACAAAAAAAATGTGGTTTAATATTTATTCGTTAGTCAGTATTTGTGACTCATCGGTGTAGTACATCGTGCTAAGCGTTAGGAATACGCGCCTGGTTCAAATCCCTGTGGACAATATGTACGAGAAGATTGTTGGGCTCTTCCCTGCCGTAGTTCGTTCACGTAACCGCTGCTCGGTTAAGACTTCCTCCACCATCAAGTCCATGTATGGGAAACGAATACCCAGCTAACTAATCCCATATTCGACATGGATTGGTAACAGGACGAGACGCCGTGGTTCGCCATATGTTCGAGCAGTTTCTTCGCCCTCTGGATAAATATGTAAATCCCTATCCTACGTTCGTCTTGGAAGATTGCGAGATTGGAAATGGAAATCTCTCCAGTACTGAGAGTTTCAATATAAATCACATTGAAAGATCGGGGGTCCAACTTTGAAAAAGATGAGTCAGTACTGTGAAGATCCTGGTCCTTCTATTCATAAGCAGCTTCTTGCATATCAATATATATCAAAGGCTGACTGTTCATAGTTTTTGTACAGAGCGAAATATGTCAATAAACAGCCAATGAGCCAAAGTTGTAATTGTAAAAAACCTAAGAAGTCAAAATTTCAAACAGAGGCTAAAAGAGCCCTCCTAATAACTGAGCTTTCTGGAATTTGTTTTTAGTAGGTTGTTGTTTCGAAGTCTTGTTCAGAGTGAAACATAAAACTTCATTCATAAGACACACTCAACAACTAAAGACTTGAAATGCCAGAGTTGAAGCTAATTTTCGGAATTCGGGATCCCTAGTAAGACAGTCCAAATCAGGGGTGGGCAACATACGGCCCTCTGACTGTCCGACGCATCATTCCTGAAAGTTGCCGATCGCTCAGATCGATCTGTCAGTGCGAGCTGGTGAAATAAACAATTGCCTTAGTGAACAAACAATTGCGTTAGCACGATTGCGTTGTTAAACAAACAATATAAGGTCAAAGTAGAGAGCGTTGTAAACATTCCCCACCACTGTTATCAGTTTTATTAGATTTTAAATATAAATAGATTCAAGAAATTAGATTTTATATTAAGTTTTAATTTAACAAAGATCGGATACCGAAGTATTTTTTGTAATAATCCGGCCCACCGAGGACTTCATTTTTCCAAATCTGGCCCGCCGACTAGAGAAGTTGCCCACCCCTGGTCCAGAGATTGGGTGAAATTTACTAGAGTATAAAATTATATCTCACCTTACACCCTTCTCGTTAGCAATGTCATACGGTCTCAAATATTCCACTTTATTTCCTTTGCTAATGATGCAGAGGTCAACATTTGACCCTGAGCCAAGGTCATTGAATATTCCTGCGGCTATTGCATCTCTGACCAACTGCATAGCTTCTTGTTTCTAAAAAAAAAGTTGAGTTTTATAATGTGAGAACGTTTGCCTTGTATAGTAGATCCCAATTTTCTATGATACTTCACCCCCTTCTGAAGGGTGCTCCCATAGTATGTGTGCCAGATTAGGGTTAGGGCATAATTTTATTCCAATTTTCGTTACTTTAGTTCTATTACGCGTTCGGGGACTAGCCAAGCGATTCCTGTAGTATTTGTAGCTGAAATTGTGGCCTAACCCGGTAGACATACTACGTTCCGGTGTCCGCCATCTTAGTACGCATACTTCAGGAGTACCCTTAATTTACTTTGAATTAATGTGGTTAACACAAATGAGAACATGAGGAAGTTTCGTGCCCTCCCTGGAAGGCCGAGTGTCCAGTTTGCAAAATCCTGGCCTAGTAGTTAGCATATTGTGTTCAAGTAGGTTGATGACACAGGTTCGAGAATACCTCTCTGCAGGCAATACGTATTCAGGAACATCCTAGTGCTTCAAAACTTAGTATCTCTATATATATCAGTGACTGCATATACAAAGCATATTGGAGCACTATCAGTTAGGGATATGGAAGACAACTACTTTCCTTGCCTTTGTGGAAGTGGATCCGTATGCATGTACCGCAAGGATGCTGTGGCAGGAATAAAGATGACTATACTATTTGATTCAATCACCTATTAGAACAGCTAGGCAAAAAAAATCAAAGCAAAATGCATAAATAAGAAAAAATTCTTATGATATCACCCCCTATCATATGTGTAATAGGACAGAAACTCTTTTCAAATGAACACTTACCTTCATATTAGGAACATATCTAGCTTCGAAAGTTGCCATTGCAGCGAGAGATCCAGAACCTGTGAAAGATGAACGAATTAGTATTTACTATGCCAAAATCGATATATGGAAAGATTTCCTGTAAGCTTTACGTTGGACCATTTATTTTTAGATTAGGAAAGTTGGTGAGATGACAATAATATGTAATCATTTGCTCCAGAAATATGTGTACCAACATGAAGGTAACTAATTTTATTCGCATACTTTACATCAAATTGTGTAAAGGGACTGAAGTCTATGGGCAGGGGGTATATTCACTTGACTAACACAGACAGTCTCAGGAACTCGTAATAAAACTAAAATAAGGAAAATCGGAATAAAATTATGGTGTAACCCCAACCTGGTACACACACTATGGGAGTATCAACGATTGTCATTTTGTCCTGGGGAGCTCGTACTGGCCTCTAACTTTGGATGACAAGTGACTCTTTCTCATCTCTTGACCCAGTATTTAAGATCCATGTACCCGACACTGCTATAAAGCAGTAGTTCCCTTTTCTCGAGCGACCCAAACTTTTTTTAATAATTTTTGTAAAATTTCGCGACTTAAGTACAAATCAGCCTGTAGCACTTTTATAACCGCAAACTTAAAGACTAATATAAAAGAATCATATTTGAACTCCAGAAGTGAGAGGGCCATCAACAAGTTTTTAAAATGGTGGCATGGCTTTACTTAGTCAAATGCATGCTGCCAAGTTTTTACGCAGTAATATTTCCCAAATAACGATTACTATTGAGCAACACTGTAAAGCCAAATATATAATTACCAATAAAATTTACTAGAAAATATAAATTAGTAACTTATAGGTTTTTGTTGAAAAAACAAGCGACCCACAGTTGACCCTGTTTTGGGTCACAACCCATACGTTGAAAAACACGGCTATAAAGCATATTTTTTATCTAATTGAAATAATACTTGATTTACTTTTATCCCAACGTACCCATAGTAACATACGGCAGCTTATCGGTTGACCCATGAGGATGTATGCTGTAGAGATGGGGCCCTGCGTAGTCAACACCTCCAAGTACAAGAGCAGCACTGATGTAACCCTGTAAAGAAATGGCAGCCAGTGATACCGTTTTTAAAGAAGAAGTTCTGAAAGGGAGTGTACAGGAAGTCTTCGACTTACGACGTTGTTCCCTTCTCGAGACGCGGTGTAACCCGAATTTCAGTGTAAGTCGGAACATTATATTGTACAGTACATAAATTACTCTATACATATCGCACTGTATTGTAAAGTATGGTACTGTAATGGAATGTACAAATAATGCAAAAAATTACTTTATTAAAAAAACAGAAAACAATTAAATATCACATGAATAAAAGCAAATACTGTACAGTACAGTATTATCTTTTATATTTTTTTCATGGTGTGTGTTCGTATTCTCGAAACAGCGTTATGGAGTGCGCGAGCGTAAGTCGCTACCGTTGTAACCCTAGGACTCCCTGTACTGACATAAGAATTGTGACTAGCGTGCTTAAAAGTATGAATTTATTCAGATATTTCGTACAAAGCTCCCAGGGCCACTCAAAATGTAAAACTACTCGCACGTACAAGATTAAACAAAATTGAAAAGTTACGTTAAATTTAAAAGTTAAGTTAAAAATTGACATTTCTCCATTTGCCGCATAAATTTTCTTTGTAGGCCAGATCTGGCCCACACGGGCCGCACAATTTTTTCTTGTGGGCCGCAGGTTGCACATCCGTGATTTGAAAACATTGGACTTATTTATTCAATGTATAATAAATATGAGTAGGCAATAGTAAAAATGCTTTGAGATGTGCCTGCTGTCCTATTATTAGATGCGAGAGCGATTGATCACATTTTAAGCAAATTTTCTTGAAATTGTCATGTGTGTGACCATTTGGTATCTCTATTGTTGATGACATGTACCTGATATCTGAACAGATATTGTTTTAGCATTCTATTAGCCGTTGCAACCCTGGTGACGCGTCCAGTATCGAGTCGGTGGAGTTCTAGGTTCGATGAAATCATCTGTGTTGTCATTTCAGTATCGGCAGCTGTCCCAGCACCACAGCAGCTATAAAACAATATACAGTTCTGTATTGCTTTACTCTATAGCATGGCTACTCAACTGGCGGACCGCGGTCCGAATCCGGACCTTTCGGGTATTCGATTCGGACCGCGCATAAATCTTCATTTTGAATAATTAGCCCCCCTTTTAAAATTTTCGCTATAAAATCACTTTTAGAGATTTAAAAATATATATGAAAATAACTATAACGCCATAACAAACAATCTTGATTAGCTAATTATCATTAGTCGGCCGAGGAATTGCGTTTTGAAGAAAGTCCAGACCCAAATATTCTTAAAGTTTTGTATGCGGACCTCCGGTAAAAATAGTTGAGTAGCCCTGCTCTATAGCATTCAATGGCAGGGCTACTCAACTATTTCTACCAAAGATCCGCATACAAAACTTTAAAATTATCTGGATCCGGTCTTTCCAGAAATTATATTTCGGCATCCTAAAATGCGCATTTCTTCGACCGGCTAATGATTGTTAGCTAATCAAGATTGTTTATTATGGTGTTATAATTCTTTTCACATATATTCAAAACTATAAAAATCATTTTATAAAATGAAACTTCAAAAGTAGAGCTAATGATCCAAAATAAAGAATTAGGTGCGATCCGAATCAAACACCAGAGTAGTTCCCAACTGGGGGCCTATGGCCCACCAAGGGGCCACAGAGCTTCAATTTCAAACACAATTATTATAACCAGTGCAAAACATAAATCTCACGATTTCGAGAAAATACATAGGATCAGAGGAGAATTTCGTACTTGCGTATTTCGGACTGTTTAGCTATTCAAACATGAACAGGGAGTCGCAAAACATTTCAATATATCGAAGGGGTCACGACCTATAATTTTTGGAAAACCCTAACTCATAAGATCAGGGCTTGCATAACAATGCCGACTTAACAGGGTTTGGTTCGCGGATAATTTTAAGCTAACTCAAGCTAAATATTTTCGGAAGTTCTGAGGTAGATAAATTAGATCCTCCTAAACGCATAAAAGTAAAATTTTGAGATACTATACTAAAGTTCAGGCATCTTAAATGAATAATTGGGGGAAAACAAAAAACTTACTAAATATTGGGTGAAATGTAATGAATTTTGGAGCAGTTTTTATCTGCAACGATATTTCCTTCAGTTGCCCGAGTGTCAGCTCCAAGAATTACTCCATCAGCGTAGACGAGGCCGCAAATAGTTGTCCCGGTTTTTACCGCTCGAGGCAGAGCAAGTCCTTTATTCTCAAGAAAAGTGTTCCTGTGGAAAAAAAGTTTTTATGTAAATTTGTTGGAAATGGAACTGATCTTTAGAAAATGTTTGAAAACTTACTTTGTAGGCTATTTTACCTCTTTTTGACAGTTATTATACAAGAAAAGTGACAAAATAATACACGAGAGGAGTTTAATTAAAACAAGAAGCAAGTCGGGGAAAAGCCACAAATATAAGTGCTCCCATTGAAGAAGTTGTGTGTTACTCAATTTTACAGCAGAGATATTTCAGTTGGTGTAGCGCAAAACTAACAATCTTTACTTTATGCTATGTGAAAGTGAAGCCGTATGCTTATATATTCAGTAGTGAATTACTACAGTAAATTTGTGATATAAAGGATAGTTATATTTCACAGGCATATACAAAAATTATTGACTGATAGGTGGATTTTGATAGATACGGTACTCATATTTTGGATTATCGAAGCAGTCTTGCACAATGTAATATCAGCGCACCCAAATCACATGCTGTCATGCCAATGGCGGAAATTTCAGTGAAGGAAATATATATTAAGATATAAACAAATAAATCCGCATAAAACAATGAAAGGTTTAATTTCATAAAGTCATTTTACAATTTCGATTTTGTTATGACGTCAGTTCTCGATGAATCTTAAGGGTTTGTTTTATTCTATTCAGTGGTTTCTCCCCTCATTCAATATACCTGCCAGATAATTAATCACAAAGAGTTCTTTTCAAAATCCCAAAACATTTTAGGCCTAGATAATTATGGTAGTTACCTTGTGTAATTTTCAAATGAAAATCCTCCTTCTGGACGTGTGAGGCACTTGACTGTTGCCATATTTTGTACTGGTAATTTCTATTAATTAAGCTAGTGGGGCTAAATAATGAAGATACATAATTAAGAATACGATAAAAAATAACAGGCATGATTATTCGGCGGCACATATTCGCCACCAAGTGGATTAATAAAGCCCAACCGGCAAAATGATAAAATTTAATATCGTCTTTTCCATATCATACCCTCATGACGTTTTAATGCATAGAAATTCGACAAATTACATCGACCGGTTGTGCTTTTTATCCATGTCATGAATATTCAGTGTTTAGCACACTGGCATAACTACAGTTCAATACAAGTCAAAGTCAAAATTTTGGGAATTTTAATCAAAACAGAATAAAGTTAGCCAATGTTGTGTTACATTTAATTTTGCAATCCCAGGGTTTCATGTTTAAAAAGATTCTAGGATTCTATCTTGCAATTTATTAAAATTTCAAATATTCCTAAAAGAATTTTTTAAAGCAAAATCGAAATTTTTTGACAAAAATTCATAATAAAGTGTCAAGAGCTAATGAAACTGTATAGAGTTACAGCAAAGAACAAGAGCGTAGCAAGCCCAAGATTTGGGGGGGGGAGCAATATTTTTCGTATAGAGACATAATACAACACTTACTCGTGCCTTTTGCTTCGAACAAGGCAAGATAAGCCCCGGCTATGCATATGGTTTGGGTGATAAGGGGGTTTGCAGCACTGATCTACATAGTCATACAAGACCTAACCAATAGGCCATCATAGATACGCATGAAGATTTAACAACCATTACGTAGAAATAACAAAATCGAAATACAAAACATTTTTGACATTATTGCACTCAGGTATATATCACAACTAAGCGTCTCAGCGTTTTTTGTCTCTCAGAATGAATATGGCCAACTATATTCTGGAATGCTAATACGAAATACAGAGCATTTTTTTCAACAGTGGGAAAAATTTCTTGAATTTTCAGAAACTGTTTTTCATTCAAATTAACATAAATCATTGTACTTAAAGAGTATAATAAACAGTACACTAAAAAAATTTATTCTCAGAACATATTTTCTGATATACATTACTTATTTCATATAAACGAACGTGGCAATCATTGCTTTTAAGTACATTTTAAATGTCGTTTTACACTGATTATATTCTCAATATAATATTAAAATAATAAAAAATCAATTTGGCAACTTATTCAGAATTAATAAAGCCTGAACAATATTCTGATGACTAATTGCTGCTGACTCGTCAAAAATAATGAATACATTTCGGCTATGAGTAATGTTTTCCGAAGCCGATAAAAATGAGTAATCAAGACAGTTTATGATGTAACAATCACTTCAAACCTCCTTGTGCTCGTACCCATTCATCCGTTAAATTTTCTTTTTCATCAAGACTCAGCATTTTTCCAGCTCCGCTGAGGATATATAACTCGTCTCTGCATCCGGCATAACGCATAACCTGTTCTGGTTTACAGCCAGTAGGTTTGAAGTAAATGAAATAAAGTGGGTACATGACGCGACCATCAGACGTTTCATGCACGTAGCTATAAATTATATAGCGAGGCTGTCGCTCAGGTAATTCCTCCATCAGTTCTTCAGTTGTGATGTCATCAAGTTCATCTTCAATTTCCACAGTTTCTTCAGACATATTTACTTTCAAAATTATTGCACGTGCGTTCTTGCTTTTGCTAAATTTAAAATCTTTTAAACGTTTTCCAACATCTTCTTGAATTGAGCACATATTCTCAGTTTGTAAGCCTTGTGACGCCATAATCTTTTTTATTTGTTTACTTACAGTACTAAAAGCTGTTGAAATAGAGGTACATATTACAGAATAAAGTACGGCAAACTTTTCAGATCGAGAAACATTGTCTTGTTTAGAACCCCTCCCTTGGGGGACATCTGGACATGGTATAAGTATAAGTTTATTTCGACTCCATAATCAGCAACTGATTATGAAATCAGGGGAGCAAACGAAACCTTAGATAAGGTTCATGACGTACAAAATATAAGATGGAAGGTTTTGCCAAGAGGAAGTGGTACGTGTTTACTCACCTAAAATTATTAGGTTATTTCACACACGCTCAAATGCACCCACCAGCCACACACACAACCACTGAGAAATTATTTAAGTAAGAATAAAACGCGATAAATTTAGGGTATACTATACAGGAAATAAAAATAATTACTAGAAAAAGAAAAAAAATATTTGACACACCATATTGATAATTTTGTAATGGTTGCCATTGCCAAATTGATCGATCTTCTAATCTTTAATTAAAATATATAAAAAGAAGATTCTATTGAAAACATATTGCCAAGCTGATTATAGCCTAGTTCAGTAGTTGGAGTCAAATGCCAAGTTGCCCAACCAAAGTTGCCAGAATTGGGTGCATGAAGAGGTGGGCGAGACCATTGCATTCCCCAAACTAGAGCCTATTATTGTCAAATCATAGTCCAGATTGTAATAAGGAATTAAAGTTACCGGTAACAGTAAAATTACTATAATTAAGTAAACTCAATATTGATGAAAATACAGTAAAATTAAGTTGCGCAAAAAACTACGAAGAAGCGCAATCTAAAAACGTCATCATTGAATTCCTTGGAAAAGAATAATCTGATTTACCAAAGGAATACCTATATTTTCTACCTGGCATTTGTTTTGAACGAAAACTGCAATTTTGGTCATGTGACAGCTGTGAATAATTTTGATGATCATAGAGACAAGCATGGCCTGTCGTTTGGTTACCAGTCTGAGTCGTATGTGGGATTAGATACCAAATAATTAATTTCAGATGCATGGACACCTTGACTTGATAGTGGCAGTAGTAGAGAATATGGTACTAGTGGAGTTTATAATCGACTATTTGAACAACGTTAACATGGCTGTACCGTCTACGTGCGGCCTCTGGGCTGTCCACAATTAGTCAAAATTATATTACTGGCTCCTTAAGATAAATAATAAAACAACTGTAATTTACCCTCCGTCAACAGCGCGCTATTTCTAACAAGTCTTCAACCTCTGAACTGACAGACCAGAAGAAGCAGCAGAGCCCTGAAGAAACATGACTAAACAGTTTTAATAGTAACAGCATTGCCCACGCGCAAAAACAGAGATGTGAATCTAAAACAAATATTTTGATGTTGAGCATTTTTTGAAGTATATGTTCTATTCTTGAGAAAATAAATAAAATTAAATATAATTTACGGCCAAATACAACTCTCTTTGTCTAAAAAACATAAAATTTATTTTGGTTCAAAAGAAATATTTTCAATGATGAAACGTATTCTCTTGATTCTCCAACGAATATACCCGAGATTTGCTTTGTCATATTTTCTTAACAATGAGTAATACCCTGCGTTTCTTTTATCCAAATGCGATATTCGCAGAAGAAATATAAACTAAGCAAAATTTTATAACATAGTACAACATTTTTTCTATTTATATTTTCATTTAAAAGATTTTATTATGAGATTACGTTTTATTCCATGGACACGCTTCAGCTATTTTACTGCTCTCTAGCGCTGACCTGGAATGTGAGGATCTTATATAAACCGACTGCACGTCTTTATCGTCCCACTCGCTGCAGAGCGTCAGACGTTTCTCTTAGGATGTTTTTCGTATGGTCTGCCGTCAACTAGTCATTTTGCTGCAAACATTGCAATTTAGGGTAGATATTCGGAGACCAGAAAGCGTAATTTATATGTTTGTAAGATCTATATCCGGCAAATCACATTTTTAAGCCTATAAATTTCAAAAAAATGACTTTAATAGAAAAAGAAACTGCTGAAATGATGATTTATTTCAGCATTTTGAAAAGGTGTTTGTAACACAGAATGTCGATTTTGGCAAACCAGGCAGGATTCGGTATCTAGCAGTAAAAGCTGAAATGCAGTGCAGGATGGTCAAAATGATATCAACAAATAGTCTATGTTAGAATATTAGTTCAGAAGTTAGCAGTGTTGTAAGACAGGCTCTTCCATATTCAGATATTCATATATTTGATCAGAACCCAAAGGATAGGGGTCTCATGTAGTTTCATACCTAACGTACTTCTAGTAGGCGTAGCATAACAATTTTTTCACATGTCAATCCTAACCCCCACCTGACCACACCATCCAAAAATTACGTCACTACAACGTCACAGTGACGTAATATAGAGCCCTTCAAACTTTGCGAACTGTCATCCAAGACGCGCAGACGTCGTCGGCGCCGATGCTATTTCGGGCGATCGTACGAGCATTTGGCAAGCTCAATGACGTGATTGTGACGTAATTTTTGGATGGCGTAGTCAGGTGAGGGTTAGGATTGGCATGTCAAAAAATTGTTATGCTACGCCTACTAGAAGTACGTTAGGTACGAAACTACACGAGACCCGAGGATAGAGGGAAGAAAATTATATGACAAACTCTTAGTGATTTAATGTGGGCCAGTCTTCTGGTTGATATTCCAGATTTGAGTTATTTGTGAAACCTGGCATGATATTATCGACGCCATGGAGGACAATTAACAAACCTGCAAACAGACCTTGACATCATGTTATAAAACTTACAGGCTTACGATACCTTGTAAATCTGTGAATGTAATGCTTGATACAGTAATAGTAACATCTGAAAATGCAGTTGGTAACATCTGGAAATGCAGTTGCTTTCATTTATTTCATATCAATTTGTGTTTTCAGTAATTATATCTAGTGTTAGATTTATAAGATACCATAATAATCGCCAAAATGAAGGACAAGGTGAACAACATTTCTTCAAACATTCGAGTAAAAATCGAAAATGAACTCAAACGTCGGATCATGATTTTTGATGGAGGGATGGGAACTATGATTCAAAAACATAAATTAACAGAAGAAGATTTTCGCGGGGAACGATTTTGTGATCACCCTCATTCTTTGAAAGGTAATAATGATCTACTAAGTCTCACAAAACCAAATTTGATTTACGATATCCATGTGGATTACCTCAAAGCTGGTGCTGATTTTGTAGAAACTAATACTTTCAGTGGAACGTCAATTGCACAGTCTGATTATAAACTTGAACATGTTGTTTATGAATTAAACAAAGCGTCTGCGATTTTAGCGAAAAAGGCTACGAAACATGTTTCTGCGTTGACTGGAATAGAAAGATATGTAGCAGGCAGCGTAGGTCCGACAAATCGTACTCTTTCGCTCTCTCCGTCAGTAGAAAGACCAGATTTTCGCAACATAACTTTCGATGAACTGGTCGAGGCATATTCTGAACAAATTAGAGGCCTCGTTGATGGAGGATGTGATATTTTACTCATCGAAACCATCTTTGACACAGCCAATGCAAAAGCAGCCATTTTTGCTGTCGAAAAAGTAAGCGAAATGGAGGATTATTCTCACGTAAAAGATATTCCTGTTTTTATATCTGGCACAATTGTAGACAAAAGTGGGAGGACATTGTCTGGTCAAACAGTAGAAGCATTTGCGATCAGCATTTCTCATGGAAAACCTATGTGCATCGGATTAAACTGCGCTCTCGGCGCCGCAGAAATGCGACCTTTTGTTGAAGCTTTGAGTAATTTCTCAGACAAAAGTATCATTTGTTACCCCAATGCAGGCCTTCCTAACACTTTTGGGGGATACGACGAAACACCTGAAATGACATCAAAATATTTAGCGGAGTTCGCTTCATCAGGACTAGTTAATATTGTTGGAGGATGTTGTGGAACGACACCGGCACATATAAAAGCAATTGCAGACGTTGTGAGTGAAATTCCGCCGAGAAAAATATCTAAAAACATTGATCGCACTTCCATGTTCCTTTCTGGCCTTGAACCTGCAATTTTGAACAAATACACTAATTTCGTTAATATTGGGGAACGGTGTAATGTCGCTGGATCACGTCGATTTGCAAAATTAATCCAGAAAAATAATTACGAGGAAGCTGTAGAGGTTGCTAAGCAACAGGTTGCCATGGGAGCACAAATTCTGGATATCAACATGGATGACGGAATGTTAGACGGAAAACGAGCAATGGCGAGATTTGTCAACCAGCTGAGTGCGGAACCAGAGGTCGCTAAAGTCCCTTTCTGTATAGATTCTTCGAACTTTGAAGTTATTCTATCGGGGTTAAAATGCACGCAGGGGAAATGCATCGTCAACAGCATTAGTCTCAAAGAAGGCGAAGAGGATTTTATCGCCAAGGCAACACTTGTGAAAAGATTCGGAGCTGCTGTAGTGGTTATGGCATTTGACGAAAAAGGTCAAGCGACAGAAATTCAAGATAAAATTCGAATTTGTACTCGCTCGTATAATATCCTTGTAAAAACAGTTGGTTTTAACCCTTGTGACATCATTTTTGACCCCAATATTTTGACCATAGCTACGGGAATGACAGAGCACGATAAATATGCAATAAATTTCATCGAAGCGACAAAATTGATAAAAGAACATCTTCCTGGTGCACGAGTTAGTGGCGGCTTGTCAAATTTATCGTTTTCATTTCGTGGAATGGACGCAATCAGAGAGGCAATGCACTCAGTATTTTTGTTTCACGCCATAAAATCAGGGATGGACATGGGAATTGTCAATGCTGGTAATTTACCTGTCTATGACGACATTGATGAAGAACTCCTTGATCTTTGCGAAAAATTAATTTGGAATAAAGACTCGGCTGGAACAGAAAAATTACTAGTGTACGCTGAAACGAAAGGTCGTGGTGGCAAAAAGGTCATTGAAACGGAAGAATGGCGAACATTTGAAGTAGAAAAACGTCTTGAACATGCGCTTGTGAAAGGAATAGATAAATATGTCATTGAAGACACGGAGGAGTGCAAAAAAAATGTTGAACGATATCCAAGAGTGCTAAATGTAATTGAAGGTCCTCTAATGAAAGGAATGGGAATCGTTGGTGACTTATTCGGCGCAGGAAAAATGTTTTTACCACAAGTTATCAAATCCGCAAGAGTGATGAAAAAGTCCGTAGGGTATTTGCTACCTTTTATGGAAGAAGAGAAGAAAAGGTTAGCGGTGAACGGAGTCCAAAATGGAGAGACTGAAGTCGATGATAATAGTCAATATAATGGAACAATTGTCCTCGCTACCGTAAAAGGAGATGTCCATGACATTGGAAAGAATATAGTTGGCGTCGTTTTGGGCTGCAACAACTTTAAAGTCATTGATCTAGGGGTCATGACACCATGCCAAAAAATTCTTGACACTGCTATTCAGAACAAGGCCGACATTATTGGGCTTTCGGGATTGATTACTCCATCGTTAGACGAAATGATACACGTCGCAAAGGAAATGGAACGTCAAAATTTTAAACTTCCGTTACTGATAGGTGGTGCTACAACATCACAAGCTCATACAGCAGTGAAAATTTCTCCGAGGTATAACCAGCCGGCTATTCATGTTCTTGACGCTTCAAAAAGCGTTGTTGTGTGTTCCTCACTTCTTAACGAGGATTTGAAACCTGTCTATGTGCAAGAAATAGCTGAAGAGTATGAAGACGTCCGCACAAACCATTATGAAAATTTACTTGATAGAGTATATCTATCGTTGGAAAAAGCTAGAGAAAATGGTCTCACTATCGACTGGAAAAAGTGCCGTGAACCTACAACGCCTACATTTATTGGGACAAAAGAGTTTATTGATTTCAATCTCGAAATTGTGACTTCGTACATCGACTGGAAACCGTTTTTCGACGTTTGGCAATTACGAGGAAAATATCCAAATCGAGCATATCCAAAAATATTTAAGGACAAGACAGTTGGGGAGGAAGCTAAAAAACTTTTTGACGACGCTCAAAAATTGTTAGATCGAATTGTTCAAAGGAAGCTTCTGACTTTACAAGGTATAGTTGGGTTCTACCCTGCTTGTTCAGAAGGAGACGATATTCATGTATTTGAAGAAGATGCCATGCCTCGACCTTTGAACCCAAGTGCGACATTTTATGGGCTACGGCAACAAGCAGAAAAAGACGATGAATCCAACGAACCGTATTATTGTTTGTCAGATTTCATTGCCTCACGTTCGTCGGGGGTGAAAGATTATCTTGGATTTTTTGCTGTCGGTTGTTTCGGCGTTACTGGAATGTGCGCTGAATTTGAAAAAAATAATGATGATTTTAACAGTATAATGGCAAAAGCTATTGCCGACCGACTAGCAGAAGCATTCGCTGAATATCTACATGAAGACGTGCGTAAAAATTTATGGGGGTACAGTGAAGAAGAACGTTTACAGGCGAAAGAACTACATAAGATTAAATATAAAGGGATTCGACCAGCACCTGGATACCCCAGCCAACCCGACCACACAGAAAAACTAACCATGTGGAATTTGATGAACGTGGATGAAAAAATCGGTGTCAAATTGACAGAATCGCTTGCTATGAACCCAGCCGCATCCGTCTCTGGGTTGTACTTTGCGAACGAGCATTCGAATTATTTTTCTGTCGGTAAAATTGCCAAAGATCAAGTCAAAAACTATGCAACTAGGAAGAGAATGTCAGTAACTGAAGTGGAAAAATGGCTAGGCCCTATTCTGTCTTATGACGCCTAAATTATTTAGAAAATTCTATTTTAGTGCAATTCAATTCAACCTCAATTTTTCCAGAAAGAAATTGAAATTAGCAGCATTGGCTTATGTATATTTTAATATGATGATGCTGACTGGTCACGCTTTATGAATTTCTCAGCCCGTTTCTATCTTACGACGCCTGAATTTTATTAGAAATTTAGGTGTTGTTGATCTATTTAGTGCAATCTAATTCAACTTATTTTCTCAGGAAAAATTGAAAATAGCAGCATTATTGTATGCATATATAAATGTTGAAATTTCTGTCTGAAAATAATACCATAAAATAGGTGATTGAGCTGATATCAAAACATAATTCTAAGCAATTTAAAGCAGTTTAAAATCGAAAAATAAATTTTTTCAAGATTGATAAATTATAGCCCGTAATAAACCATGTCAACAGCTTCCTTTATGTATTGATTTGCAATTTCCTTCTTTATTCCTTGCTGGTTTATATTAAACCCTGATGCCAGATTATTTTACATCCGCATTACACATTATTCTACATCTTAAAATGATGAATTTATTGAAAGCCGACCCTACAAATCGTAACATGATGTATGAGTTGTAGCTGTTGGAAATAAGTTAGCATAATGTCATTTCGATTGTGCGCTCATAAGCCAAAAGATTTGACGCAACGACCAAATCAAAAAATTACGTATTTTTACGCAGTGCTTTTTAAACAAAAACTGACGAGTTCGGATTTTTTTCGGGTAAAAATTGGACTGTCGACAAGCGGGGCCAGGTTGTGGCCATTGGACTGTGTTTTGCACATTTTTAAACTAAAATTAGCGGGAACCCTGGTTGTGTTTCCTTCGTAATACTTTCTGCAATCTAACAGTATATTTGCGATAATGCGATTTTTTCTATATGGCTACCTTACTTTATCTTAAATGTGGGACAACTAAAAAAGTGTGACAATTTTTGTTTTTAAATTTCTATTTTTTTCGTGTTTAATAATGGTACAAATATTTATTTCTGCTATTATTTATAAGTTATAACTTTTTTTTTAAACCAATGGCTTAGTTCAGCGGTTCCAAAACTTCTTGTTCGCGCAGCGTCAAATTAAAAGGGAAGAAACTCATGGCACACTTACATGAAAAAAATGGCTGCCTTCAATAAAGTTGGAGTATTGTTGAAAAATGATGCATAAATAAATTTTTGTTTTTGATTACCGTTAAAATTAGTTGCTTTGACTGCTAGGTTTTAAATAAGCCTGTCAGTGCAATTTCCAAGAAGCCATACCCTTAACTATGAAACAAGGTTATTCACCGATATAGTCAGGTCGAATGATAATTCGACTCGATCCCAGCTTTCGAAATCTATTTCTCTGAAATCTATTTAGTATTTTCCTAGTGTTGATGTTGCTGCTTTCTTGTATCGCAATATGTTTCGCATTTTTTGGTTTAATTGTGCTATTGATTTTTTGCTATTTTGTGCTGTTTGCTGGGGTGTAGCCAGGGATTTTGAGGTTGGAACCCCCTCTACTTATAAATTGTAAAAAAAAGCATTTCCTGCATCATGTATAGCAATTTTCCGTGACTTGAAACGATGTTTCGTCCCTCAAGACTATTGAAAACACAAGATTTCTGGCCCCCGGTTGGACCTGGTAGCTGATACGGTCTAACTTTTAATTCCAAATTTAACCCTTCCCTTAGCTTTCCTGGCTCTGCCCCCGGTTTTTGTGTCCTAAATTAAACTGAAAATTCTTTCTTAACGCTCTTTATCTTGAGTTCCTTTACTGCTTATTTTACCAATTTAAAATTCTTTCACGCCAAATTATTTTCAATCTTGATACTAAAATAATTGTTATTTTATGCAGTGCATAATAACTATAACCATGAGACTAACCGCAGTCATTAGATCAAGCATTGAAAAAGCAGTGCCGACTAATAGAAGGCGAACACCTCGGGCTTCGTTCAGACGACCTATGCAAGGAAGATATACTGATAGGAAAAAGGAGCCAAAACCTTGGGAAACATGTAAGTATAGAATAAAAGTTTAGCTGCATGCATTTTCTACATTTTATAAAGGGGTCCTGACGCCCCCTCTTGGCTACGGGCCTGCCTAAAATTATTCCACACGTGAGTGCTCTTTCCATGTTTAGTATATGATTTAGAGCCCTAACTTGAAGTAAAATGACAAAAAATAATTTTTCTCTTTCTTACAGCGATGGGTGAATTGGATGAAGAAGAAGTAAATGAACTTGGTCAGACTATTCCCGTTCGAGAAAAAATTCCGATGATAATGGTTCCGAATTTGAAAGACTTTAATCTTAAACCTTACGTGTCTTACAAGTGAGTCAATGTTGTGTAGTTATGATAAGATTTAAAATTTATCCCGGTGGAGACGAGAGACAAGAAGATGGCTTAATCATATGGGAAACCACTGCCTCTTGCCCGGTTACCAGTCCATGCCGGGCATGGGATTTGTTAACAAGGGTGGGTACACCTGTAGTTGTTATTTTGTATTGGACCAGGACTTTCCAAACTGGGGGCAAGACCCTGCAGGGGAGGGGCAAGATATTTGAGGGGTCGCAAAGAATACACCAATCTCACATAAAGTACAATATATACAACTAGTGCAAAAAATAAATTCCACCGGAATACATAGGACATTGGCATAACAATGCTGACTTCACAATGGTCGTGAAAAATTTTAATATATTCGAAGGGGTCCAGAGTTTAAATGTTTGGAAATTCCTGGTGTAAGTCATCGCTGGGAGTTTCATTTTAAAACTGAAATTGGGAAGAAGAAAGCCACTAATTCATGCTTATGAAAGCGATAATTGAAGTTACCTAAAAAATTAACAATTTTTAAAGTGTTCCTAATTGACAGTCTATTTTCATATTTATTCCAGTTTATCCAAAATTTTAGTTTTTTATAGTTCTTATTGTGCTTGTAGTTCTTATTTATAATACAATAAAATTTATTTAAACTTACAATTGTTATTATCATAAAATTGGGCAAAATTATTTGGACACCCTGTATATAAGAACGAGGCCTGCATAGTGTGCAAGACACAAGAGTAAGACCGAATCAAGTTTGTGTATTCAAACTCTTTGCTGTCGTAGGGTGGTTCATGTAATCGCTGGGCGGTAATGGCTTCCTCCACCATCAAGTTCATGTTTCAAAAAACAAACAACTGGCTAACTAACCCAATCACCTAACATGGACTGGTAATCGGACGAGTGGTTGTGGTTTGTCATTATTCAGTTATATCGGCTTTCCTTTTCCCGGGGTAAATAGGAAAATCCTTTCTTAATTAGCGTCAATGCTTCAATAATTTAAAGGTAAAAATTAGGTGCTCCAGAAGTGTGCGTGCCAATGTGGAGGTAACTAATTTTGTTCGTCTACTTTACATCAAGTTGTGTGAAGGGACTGAAACATATGGCTAGGGGGTTTATCTACTTGGCTAACACAGACAGTCCCGAATTCGTAACTAAAATAAAGAACATCAGAATAAAATTATGGCCTAATCCTAACCTGGCACACACACTACGGTACCAAACATTATTTTTGTTTTTCGCAGAGCTGAAAAACACCACGAACCTCCACTTCAAGCTAAAGAATTATTTGACATGTTCTACGCTCCACAAATAGAAGCCGAAATGAGTGGAACAAAACTAGAGACAATCCCTGAACCGGAGGAAAAAGGACTTTTAGGGAAAATAAAATATATGTTTAAAATGCGGAAAGAGGCCAAAATTATTGATAAAACAGAACAAAGTTAATAATGTGTGCTTTGAGGGTTAAAAAATTACCTCATCTCTACTATTTTCGGGCTTGTGTGGACTTGGTTGGGAGTGTTTCAAATATCACCTTTATCAACATTAATGATATGGTTTCACGAAATCAGCTGCTAGTTCCCGCTTGTTGAAAACAGTCTTTCTCAAAAATTTAGCTTGTAAATTTTCCTTTTGAATGCCGCTAATGTTTATTGAGTTTTCCAACTCATGTTGGCACGAATGGTTTATTTCCGATGCGATGAATGTTTTTCGTATCAAATGCCATGCTGTAACTGCAGTTACTTTTAAAAATAATGATCTTGACTTCCATTCTGAAACTCTTACCCTGGGTGAATTTGAAATTTTAACTAGGTGTCTTAATATACGAGTTATATACGCATATGGAAAAGGCTCTGTATAGATGGTAAATCTAAATGATCCAGAAGGCTTGTTGTGCACCAGTATACTTACCGTACTTTTCTGTGAAGCTTTTTTCCGATCAAATTTTGATCCAGACTTTCATTTTAAACTATAACTCCGGGTTAGATCAAAATTTTACTTCAACCTCATACTCTCTCAAGCGCACTGGAGTCGGTTTGAAGATCGGACCGCCCTCCCACTTTTAAAATGTAAAAAAGCTTTTTTCTTTATCCTACATAGCAGAAATGATTTTTAGATCCTAGAGTTGCTTAAAAACCTGATGTCTTTCGGCCGTATCCGCTAGCTATGACGACCCAACTTGGTAATTGGGAATGACAAAATTCCCCGCAATTTGAAATTTCCGGCTTTGCCCCTGTCAAGGTAGTTTCCTAATGTACCAGTTATATATATTTATATGATAAGGACGCTGTAACAAACATATAGATGCTTGCTGTGCACCACCATACTTAATTTTCCTGTAATATTTTTTTCCGATAAAAGTCAGGATTCGCCTCACAAATGTAATTCAGTTAATTGAACTCCTGCGCCTGTTTTTACATTTTCTCTTTTTGCTTGCTGTGGAACAAACTATTTTTTGAACTTATTTTGTGAGTACACAATTCTGTACCAGTCTAAGTGTTTTTTTGTAATGGGATAACTATGAAACGAGAATATCGGTCGGAGACCGAAGACTTATCGATCGAAGGTTAGGGGATCCCCAAAATAGCGCTCTTACTCCATAGTGACACCGTGTGTCCCATCACTAATTAATTAATAACTCGCTAATTATACGACATAAATCATCGAAAATTAATAGGCTTCTGATCCGAGCTGTGATGAATGCACATGCAAAATTTGGAGCAGATTCAACCTCGCTTTCGTGAGATATCGCGTGCATCTAACAGACAAATACCAATCAATCAAATCGTTTTTTATTTATCATTCCGACAAAATGAAAACAAGAAAAAAAAATATTTGTACAGAATGACGGGATAACCGCGAAATGACCATTCGGTCTACTTGTCAGCGGCAACCTTAAAATAGCTTAAATCTTATGGCTACAAAATTAGCACAGCGCGAAACGTTTTTATGCGAGAACAGCATCGCCCCAAGATAGCGCTGCAAGGCAATAATAAACCTTGTTGTTTATAGAATTGGGATTTCCCCGTATATTATTTCGAAGCGGTGCTGTTCAGGCACATTTTGGTTGGCGTTTCTGGGAAAAAGTTGGACAATACATATTAAGAAAGGATTAGAAAGAGTACGAACATACTTGCATACTTACCGATTAAAATCGATAATTAATTACAGGATTTACATATTTATTCTTGGGGAGGAAAGCCGACGAGACGGCTTAATCATATGGACAGCCACGGCATGAAGCAAAGCTTTAAATCAGTGCAGTAGAATGGATTAATCCAGCTACTATATTGTCCAAGTGCAGTTTCAAGTATTTTGTGGCGTCTAAATATGCCGCAAAATCATGGCGGGATTTTCCAAACCATGGCCGCTATGGTCAAACCCGTGGCGACTGATTTTTTAGCTGCCACAAAGGCGAGAGCAAATTGAAAACCAAAAGCGGGTAAAATTTTGCTGCCATAACCACGGCATGTCGGCTGTAATAGCAGGGCTGCCCCTGATGGTGATAAATATTGGGTAAGTACAGTTGATACAGTTTGGATGGATTTGGGGTTAGGTTTAAGTAGATATAATTCTCATGATAAACTAAAATCTGGTACATGACTTTGTGAATATCCGGTGCTAACGCCATAACTCATGGCAAGAGCCGCCATCGGTTAGTTCGTGTCAGGAGCTGCCATGTAGTGGTAAGAACTGCGCCTCATTTTGTCTGTACCAAAATACTCCGCTATTCTGTATGTGGTGGATCTAAATTAGGGTAATGTGGACTGGCGGAACATGCGACGATCGAACTACCCCCTCAAAAATTTTGTATTAATCAAATGCTTTGACTGAATTTGTATAAAAATAAAGCTATATAACAAGTATAACACATCAAAACCTGCTTTCCGGTCCTTGAAATCCTGTGCGTACCAGAGCTGGAAATACAGTTAAGAAGGTAACGAAAAATTAACAGAAGTTAAGATGAAATACTACTTAAAATATTTAACGACAGACAACGTCGCCATGACAAAAAAATTCGCGCAACTTTTTCAACACCCTGTAGTGACACAAAGCTACAATATTTAGATATATATATGACGTATAGTTGAAAATCCACCACGCCAAAAGCGCGATAAATCCGACGTTCTTGAAAACATTGTTACTTGAAATCTAATTTCTCATGTGCCTATTGCTAATCAAGAACTTCTAGTATAAAATAATGGACGCGAATCGTTCGAGATGTCAGAAATTCAATTTCTTTCCTTCCGATACTTGACTCGCATCGTTATTTGAGAGCCCAACAGAAGTGTATGTACCAATATAGAGGTAACTAATTTTATTCGCCTACTTTGAATCAAGCTGTGTAAAGGGACTCAAGCCTACGGGAAGGGAGTATATTTACTTGGTTAACACAGACAGTCTCCGAACTTGTAATGGAACTAAAGTAAGGAAAATGGGAATGGAACTATGGCCTAACCTGGGTCGCTTCCGTAGTATGTTTACCAAGATGGCGCGCAACCTGATAACCCCAGCCTGGAACACATACTATGTTCAGGTTGTGTGCCATCTTGGTGCACATACTACGGGAGTACCGAAAATTCATGCGAATGCGTTCTACTGATGACGTCACAGATTTTTGTATACTTTAACAAGATCCTGGGTACGACACTGTCTACCCTATATATACACGAAAACACTTTTAATTAGTAATTATTTATTTAATTACTCGAAATAAAATATAACAATGGTTTGGTATATTGGAAACGTTACCTAAAAATTAAATAGATAATATAGAATTAGTTAAATACTATTAGTTGATGATTCCCACGGCAAGTGATCGGTACACACTGTTAATCGCAAAGCATATTCAAATCAAGAGGGCCTTGACAGGACTATTGCAAGCCCTTAGCCAGTGACAGCATTTTAAAGCATTCAGGAGAAAATTGCACTCCTTTTCGTCGTATTAACATTGCCATATTTTTTGTGACAGGGGGGTGTCGGTTCATCGAAAGTTATCAATCAAGGATTACGTAAACCATGTTCCTGTAAAACAGGTGTGTGTAATCTTCAATACAGGAAGGCCAGATAGAAATAACTGGGTAAAACCGCGGGCCGCACCTAAATAACATAAACTTTCTAGTGGTTGCAAGCCCAAAACTGCATTGTGACGTCATAGGCATTGATAATAAATTGGAATCAGGTATATAATTTGCAACGCAAAAGGATTAAAATTACTCTCACGTACCAAATTAAACTAAAATAAAAACTCATTTTGCGGGCCGCACACCATTCAAAATTGACTCTTATCCGCGGGCCGCACTATTTTTCCTTGTGGGCCACAATTGGCCCACGGGCCACTGGTTGCACACCCCTACAATGTAAACCCATTAATCATAAGTGTTCGTCGTCCACCAAAGAATTGAGGCCCAGAAATCCCAATTGTTTCACCATTTGCCCCAAACTCCTGTTTACTCTGTTAGGCTATATATAAGTGTGAAATACACTATTTGAAGGAAGTCGCAAACCAATAATTCGCAAAAAATATAGATTAGGCATAATAAGGTTATTATATTTTTAAATTAGTAAAACGAAATTATTAAAGAAAGTACGCATAATATTCAAATAAAAAGAGGTCGCTTCAGTCGTTCGTGTCCACCGGTTTACATGCATGGGTGGGGCGGGTCTCAAAGGACCGCCTGAAGTATACGCACCAAGATGGCGCACAACCTGAACTCAGGTTGTGTAACAGGTTAGAGTTCAGGTTGTGCGACATCTTGGTGCGCATACTTCAGGAGTACCCAAACTTTTGCATCAGTGACGGGAGTTTGTACAAAATATCCCAATCATTATCTGAGCTTAATCGGTAACAGGAGTTATCCGAATGGGAAGTCAGAGTCAAAATTTTTATCAAAGCTAGGTCGGATTTGGATGACTTCGGGCTGAATCAAAATATCAAAATCCCCCCCCCCCCCCCCCCCCCCCCCCAATTTTACTGCCTGGTTGTCAGTACCAGGAGTGTAGCCAGGAATTTCCAAAGGAAAAGTTCTGAAATTTCCAATTTTCAAGTTATATCGTAACAGCTAGCGGACCCGGAAAACGTGGTTTTCAAGAGTCTTGGATGTTAAAAAAGCATTTCGAACTACGAAAAATTGTTATGTATAATGGATACAAATGCTTTTTTTACATTTCGGAAAGAGAGTCCGACCAGTAACCCTCCTTGGTACTACCTGGGCCAGGCAAGAGTTTCATGCAAGTAAACCGTCAGACTTGAAGTCACAGAAGCTGTGGAAATTTTATAGACAAGGCCAGATCTCGAAAGGTCATCAATCAGGAAATATTTGATTCCGTGTTGACATACAAATAGTCATGTCTAGCAAAAGTTTTTTTAAATATAGCAGTTCAAATGGGGGTATCTAAAACATGTCGTATCCCATGTCTCGTTTCGTATGTATACTCAAGCTGTCAGCCAAAGTTTTGAATCTATTGCTACCAAAAACATACAGGGTGTCCATGAAGTCCCTTTACAATTTCAATTTTGTTATGAAGTCAGTTGTCAATATATCCTAACCAGGTTTTTTTTTTTTTTTATTCAGTAATTGTTTAAGTATTTTTAATTTATTTAATACATCTGTGAGGGCCAAAACAATACATGGTATCGATAAATTCCCTTTGCAATTTAAAAATAAAAATTAAGACATCATGGACACCCTATAAGCCTATACACTTATACAGTATATATATTTCATACCCCTTCATACGCTTATTTCATTTGTCCAACGTTTTTATATTATCTCATCCCAGGACGTAGCTTGGATCTGATTTTATATACCAATTTCCCAAATATATGTATTTAACTTCAAGTGTGACAAAATAGGACAAGGTTATAAAAGGGGACAAGTGGGACACACATGTTTGGGAATTTTTTAAATGGGAAAGCACTAAGTGCTATTATAGAATGGTGACCGTACATTTGAACCCATGTACATTTGAACCCATGCGTATATCCACGGGTTCAATCTATATGCGGGTGCTAAAACCCATGGGTTAGGGTTAGTATGGGTTTAACTATCCGTGAAACAAAAAAAATTCCATAGGTGCAATAGCATACAGGTGCAATTGTCATGGGTTCAAATGTACGTGGGTTCAAATGTAATGGAACCTTATAGAATATTAAGGTACACTTAGCTGCCTACGGTTAAAACAGTTGAAATTGTTCCTAATTTCACGCGGTAACAATTTAAAATTAGAATGTGTCAATCGAAGGCAGCTAAATTTGACTCATTATCCACATGACATATGCTATATTTTTTATGTATTTATGAGGCAAAGAGAAATACAAGTAATAGTTGAAGGTAGGTATTGGCAAACACGATGAAAAATTACAATAGTGCATTTGAACAAATAGTGCTGTGATTTTAGGCAGACGATAGTTATTTTAGAAACGTCACGCTGTAGTGAATCTGTTGCTTTTGCGTTGGGTTACGTCATAAATGCTGTTTCTTCATCCATAGTGACGTCATGGAAGCCGCCGTTCGCTTTTCTGAAGATTGGAAGAGAGATAATTCAGTAGGAAGTCGGGCTAGCTCGTTTTAGGATGGAAATTTTTGTATATTTATAATGGAGGATAAGGGGTAGAAAAGGCCATGAAAGGTGCTCAGATGACTTAATCAGGTTAGGCAATGCGTATCATGATAGCGAGTGTGCCGCTCCAGAAATATCGTCGTGGAAAATGTAACCAGACAGCGATTACATGAACCATTTGCTAACCGTCAGGCTAAATAGGCCTACTGATATATCGCTGGTTTTTTTTCGGGGGAGGGGAGGGGGAGTTTCAGTCACATACAGGTAAATATGCTAGAAATAAATTTTCCCAAGATTTAGATATTTATTCCAAAGATGTGGAAAGTTGATAAGACGACTTAAATAAAAGGCAAACCACTACGCGGCCTCTCATCTAGTGTGATCAGTGACCTGTCTATTACGGGTGCATGTTGTTAACCAAATGCATGGAATTATTGGCGGAGGTGTGGTTACTAACAGGCAGTTAAGTGAACAACGCAACGGCGCGAGTCAAGCAATGATCAGCTAGCTATTAAATCAGGAGTACGATTGCGCACCTCTTTACGTTTGACGGCAGTTGCCGGTGAAGCTAAGCAGTAGCCAGTCCATGACGGGTCTGTGTGTTGTTAACAGGCAAGCTGGGTACTATGGTGCACCTTCTTACGCTTGATAACCAGTCGTCAGTTATTTCATCTCATTTACATCAACGACAATGGAGCGTAAATACCAACATTAGCAATTACTTTACTGTAATCTTTTTCTGGAATTGGTTCCGTCGAAATCGCTTCTGAATGTTCCACCGTTCGTCGAATCGTTGTCGTCAGAATGTGATGGCATGCAGCATTGCAGCTCTGAATTATCAATTCTTGAGTAGCTGGAGCTGACTCGGTACTAAAACATAGTTACTATTATTGAATTTGTGATTTTTTTCTGCAAAGTCAATGAATTATTCAATAATGGCAGATTACGAAGAGCCGGAGATCGGTAGGACAAAGACCCAAACCGTAAGTACTAATGTTATTAGGTTTGCAAAATTTGGATATTTTGTACGAAGTTAATGCAAAAAAGTGAGATTTGAGAAAACGCTTTAATATCCCAAATTCTACGCGCATAAGTGTATTTAATGTAATAGATTGGCCACTTTGGCAATATCCCACAATAGCTTTTAGCGCTGGTATCGTTAGCGTAATATACGATCCCGGAACTTAATCAATTGTGGACCAGCGCTGATAATAATTTTTCAAGTTTAATTGATAGTATTTGAGATATTATGCCGAATCAGTGGTTTTGGCGATTTCCAGTATTGGCAGCTCCGTAGTTGACAGGTATTTGTTTACAGCTTTTTCTGTTTGGAATTCGTAAATACATTTTCCATCACGTGTTGTTGAAATAAATATTTTTAATTATGCCACCACTTTCACGCAACAGGCAGGTATTGCCTTAGGACTTACGGTAGGTAAACAGAATATGCTACCAGATGGATACGTGACAAATGTAGAGTATCGCAGTCGTCTTCTGATAAATAATGAGACACTAGTTGGCACTCGTGTGTTACTATAAACTTTCAGGCGGCCGCCTATGCGCGAAATAAAAGAGAAGCTATTCCATTTTAAATGTTGTTTTTTGGTAAAATAAATTTAGTTTACGGGATCTTGGTCGATGAAAAAAATTAGCTTCACTACCCACCCTGAGTTTAAAAAATTGACTTATTTCGACGCAAGTTACGACTCAGAATATGATAACAAAAACTTATGGTTTATTTGCAAGGCCTTTCTTTATCAGACTATTAAAAATGGTTCAGTGAATCTAGATGCTATCCCAGTTTAAAGTATGGGCCTTGGAAAATGTGTACAATATTCGGCATGCATCACGGTCAGGAATCTCTCATAATAACAATTCATCTAGGCAACACAAATTTGCAAGACCAATATGCAAAACAATTCTGCAGTCTTTTCCCCGATACGCTAATTGCAAGATGATAAAAAATGTATCAAAACACTAGTTTTCCTTATTAAACATATAGGTACTCAAGTATCCCGAGGTTGTTCGCTATTTTCGTGTCAAACAGGTTCAAATAAAATACGGGACAAGAACGTTCAATTATAACAAATTTTCATGTTGACGTCTTATTTTAAAACCTGACAAAATGCAGATGCATCAAGGCAAAAAACGGCGCTATTATAGGGTGGTATCTACCCCAAGCTTGCATAGGCGTAGCCAGGTTGGGGGGGGGGGGCATGCAACTTTTGCGGCATTTGCAGTGAGACGTAAGTTCATACGTCGTTCTCAACACTATTTTCCTGGCTTGGTATCAATAATTCTTCCACCAAATGAACCAACCGAGATAGATAAAAAAGGCGCGCTTGTATACCTCGGATAACTTCCACAGCGAAGTAAATCTGTAGAGAGATTCTTTAAGATATTGTTAGAGATCAGCCAGCGACTCTTTTTATCTAGCATTGTTCGGAGCTAAAGGCATGGGTAAGCTTTGTATCACGTCATTATACCAAAACAGTTCGGCCCTTGCACGCTATTACTGTAGCTTGAGGTCTCACTTAGGGTTGAATCCCTTCTGCAACATTTTGAATTGCCCTCAATCGATGTCAACTATTTGAGGCGGAATCTGAGACTGCACCTTGCTTGGAGGCAACGTATTACAGCGATAGAACTCACGCTATAGTAAATACCAAAGAATATACATTTATAAATTCAAAATTTGATCGTATGTAAAATGTTGTGAAGTACGACTGACTAAACAAAACTGAAAGCTAGTTTATTCGTAGGACAATATTATTTAATCATAGTCAGTCTCGGAATCCAGTCTCGCATTTGGAAAATAATTGTACGCGCACTTTAACATTTATTTTCGAAATTTTTTTTTTTTTTACGAAAAAATTGCGCTGCAAGTTGCAACCTAATAAATCCTCTGTGAACTAATAAACCGAGGTGGCCTTAGTTTGTCTTATTTTGACAACTTTGAAGCAAGTTATGTGATTAACATTTTCGAAGTAGCGATAAGCGTCTGTTACTAACGCCTGGATAGCGAAGACACTGATGTATGAGGGCATTGTGTCATTGTCTCATCGATCATAAGTTGCGCGATTCGTTGAATATTTTACGCGTATGCTCCGAACTGTGCTCTAAACGCAATGAGTTGTTATCTTTAATCGATCTTTAGATCGGTAAGTTATGTTGATAGTGTGGTTTGTCTGTTCTGTTAAGATTGTCAACGCGAATATCTCTAACGAATGGCGTGGTTGATGTTTCCGCATGTGCAAATCATTCATATCTCGGACCAAAAGCCTGTTGATTGGATGATGAATTATTGTTGGTATAGATTTAGCGCGAGTTGATTAATTTAGTAATTAGTGATGGGACACGGCCAGGTGTCACTTGAATTAGGAGTCATGAAATCGGAAACCCGCAAGTTTTCGATCGATAAGTCTTCGGTTCGCCGACCGATACTCTCGTCTAGTATTGTTTAGAAGCGAATTAGAAATCAGGTAGTGACTCAACGCCCCGATGATATTTTCCTTAGAGATCGCGGACTCCAGTTTAGAACCACTGTGCTAGGGGTTCACATAGCTTATTAGTTTCCGACCTTTTTGTTAAATTTCTCTTTGGCCTATTTTTGCTTCGAATTTAAATACAAATTAAATGCGAGGGAAGATAAAAAGGCGATATTAATGGCCTCCGATTTAATATCGATCACGGAAAAGTACCAATTGGGTAGTGTAAACCAGGTATAATATATTAACCCAAATATTACTGAGCTTATTAGGATCATGTGCAATGCATTATGAGTCCCTTCTCATTACTTATCGATTTTGATCGGTAAGTATGTTGATAGGTATTCGTTTGTTTGTCTGTCTGTTTGTTTGTTTGTTAGACACTTTCGTATTTTACGTAATATCTCACGAAAGCGAGGTCGAATCTGCTCCAAATTTTGCACGTGCATTCATCATATCTCAGACCAGAAGCCTATAGATTTTGGATGGATTATGTCGTATAATTAGCAAGTTATCAATTAATTAGTGATGGGACACGCGGTGTCACCATAGAGTCATGAATCGAAACCGCAGTTTCGATCGATAAGTCTTCGGTCTCCGACCAATATTCTCGTTGTTTCCTTGCTACCTCGGATTTGTTGCCACAGGGGTTAATTTTGATAAAAAAATTATTTGAGTTTGAGATGAACTTGACAGCTGATAAAAACATGACCTTTTAAGCTATTGCGCAATACTTTATTTGAACTGAAGTTGTTTAAACTTCACGAATGTCACGCACGCGAAGGGGATAGAAATATATTACTTAATTGAATTTTGGCGTTTGACAAGTCAATAAACACGAGACACAATTTAACAAGATTCTGTGATTGGTAATATGATGGACCACGTCTTGGGGCAATATTTTACTTATTATTAGGACAGCAATTACATTCTAAAGCAGTGGTTCTCAAACTTTTTTCGTACCAGAGCTGCATTTCAAACCTCAAAGTTGTGAAGAGCCGCACACAAACAACGAAAGGTAAATAGGCAACAAACCTTAAGCGCTTATTTAAAATACCAAGTCATCGTAACAACAACACACGTAACAACTATGGCTGGGCAAATATTGCGAATAATGAAATATTCGAATGCCATTTTACTATTCGAATATCTGGTACCACGTGACCTGAGTATGACCTCCGACGTTTCTGGATCATTGTTATGTATAAAAAATATTCATTATTCCACTATTCCGGTATTCGTTAAAAATATTCAAATTATTCGATTCGAAAAAAAAAAATCGATTTTGCCCACCCTAGACACCCTAGATAGCTTTGATTTCTAATAAGTTTGTCAAAGCGAGTCGTAATCGTGGAGAATTCAAGGTGCAGTAGCTGCTTGAGATGATCGCCAGATATATCGGGACTATTACCGATTACTGGGACAAAATTGAAATAATTATTGAGTTATTTGATTTATATATAATATTCGCAAATGCAACAAAAACTTGAAATCCACGAAACCAAGCCAATGATTACAGCTATGTCTAAAATCTTTCCAAGTGAAAAGTGTCTGAGTGGCCGCGGAAACGGGTGTATTTTGAAATATATATTAACAGGCGGCAAAATAGACCTATATGTACACACGGTAAGGTTTAAATCAGCGGTCCCCAAACCGCGATCCGCGTATCGATTTAATATGGCCCGCCGAACTTGGGTAAAATAGTTTAACAATTTGTTTCTACTTTTTTCGTTCTAGATATCGCCATTGGTACGTTATTATCAGAGTTTAAGAATGTGTATATTTCTGACAGTTCAATTGTACCGATATCTTAATAATACGTAGCAGTACCAGCATCTCTCTTTCGGCCCGCGAATATCCTTCCGCTTCTAATTTTGACCCTCGTTTAATCAACTTTGGGAACCACTGTTCTACGTCGTAAATGAAGTATATTGAGCTGTGTTTTTTTAGCCGTGTTATGCGCGGGCAACGAACTGTTGCACCATCGTGAGTTAGTTGTTTTGGGTTAGCCATTACCATCAGATATGTGTATTTAGTTAATCATTATATTGGGCGGAGATGTTATTAACGACAAACTAATAATTTTCACACTGCGCCATGTACTTTACCGATAAATATTTATTAAATATTTAGAATGAATAGGTCAATTGATTCCGGAGCATGCCCTTGTGAAATATGGCCAAGTGGCAAATATTTCTCGACTGTGTTCAGAACGAGAAGTTTTATGAAATTTGGATCCGCAATAATTACCTAATATCGGTTATCTTAACGCATAGATATGAAACCAAATCGGAAAAAATGATCGTCCAACCCGGCCAACGGTCCGAAGGTCATCTTTCACGCGCTCAGCCACGCCTGGATACGCCGTTTTGTGTGAAATATGAAATGTGCTATCTCCCACGTGTTCATTCTTTATGATATTTACTTTGAACAAATATTTATGAAATGAGTAATGCTATACGACCACAAGAATAAATCGATTGTTGTCCATTTATATTTACCTAGAGCAGTGGTTTCCCAACCTCTTATGGCTCGTGGTTCCTATCCGGAGGCTTTTATCACTTATGTCCCCCTGTTTATTATTCCAGTGGTATTTATAGTGTTAATTATTCAACAATTCATTCTCAACAAAGTGAAAACGAGAATATCGGTTGAAACCGAAGACTTATCGACGATAGTTAGGGGATCCCCCCAAAACAGAAACTGCAGTTTCGATTCATCCGCTCTTGTAACTTGCGCACTGCGCATCGCACACACACTCGGCGGGTCTCAAAAATCTAGATCACTTCATCAATAATTGATTGATAACTCGCTAATTTTACGAGCTAATTCGCCCAAAATCATGAGGCTTCTGGTCCGAGATAAGATGAATGCACATGCAAAAACTGGAGCAGATTCAATTTCGCTTTCGTGAGATATCGCGTGCATCTAACAGACAAACAGACATACATACATACAGACAGACAGACAAATACCTATCAACATACTTACCAATTAAAATCGATAAGTAACAACCTCTGAAATAACCTTGTTAAGAAATGAAACTGGGGAGAACGGGGAGTTTTCTTGTAAAGGACAAAAGTACAATCAGTTTTGCTCCTAGCATTGTGATACCCACCCCTGTGGGAGCTAAGTTTGCAATACAATTAATTTCAACGCTTCAATCGCTAGGCCGGCGGTTTTCAATCGGGTGGCACGAGGCCCCTTAGGGGGGCACATAGCAGTTAGAAGGGGGGACAGTGCTCGGCGCAAAACTGGTATTATTATTCACTTTATATAAAAAAAAAATATCCTGTTCTTTCTTTCTTGATAAGGTCATTTCACAGGGTGTTTTTACTTTGGCAGCATGAATTGTTTAAGCATAATGAGATTTGGAATCTACCAATCAAAATAACACTATAAATACCGGTACGGATGAAAGTCAAAACAGGCCATTCACAAAAAAATGAAATAACAGTTAAAACGTTGACACATTTGATTCACGGCTTTCCCTCGGTGATTTTCCGCGTCTTCGTACGTGTCAGGAACATTTCTCTTTTAGCTGATAGGAAATAACCGATTTACTCTATTTGTGTTGAGGGTATATAAAGCACAGCCGGTTTTATAAAAACAATTTCATTTGCCTCGATCCGAATCCGATCTATTCAGATCATAATTCTTATTTAATTTCTGTCGTTGATGAATGATATTTCTTTTCCAAAACCATTCGGAGCAATGCAAAATATCCTGTTTTTTTTTCAGTTTTAAGAATTCAATATTGTTACATGTCTGAAGTCATTGTTCCGGACAACTCAAATCATACTTTTTACCATTGCGAGTCGTCCATTAATATATTAGAGTTAGAAATGGAATTTGTTACTACTTGTCCACAGACTTGCTCGAAGCAACGCAAAATATAACGAAGTGCTTTTACCGTTGCAAGTCGTCCTTGGGTTAAGAAATGACGTTTGTTACGTTACTACATGTCCAAAACCGTGTTCGAAGCAACGCAAAACACGCCACACCAGTGGCTGCAAATTGCGGCACTCGAGCCAAATGCCCGCAAACAAATTTCCTGTGGTCTTTGAGCGGCCTCACTTTCAATTCATGAAGACAAAGAAGGGTTGCTTACAAATTTTTTATTATCTGCGCTGTTGTATGGCGTTTGTTTTGTAGTAATTAGCTAAGTATGCTTACCGTTAGATATAATCAACTTAGGCATAAGGCATTGGCATTGGCCATTGTCCATGAACGAAATTTAGTTCGGCCCGCAAGCTACCGGAAATGTCATTATTTGGCCCATAATTTGAAGTATTATGTGGCGATTGTTATTGGGCGGAAATTAGTGCGAATTCCACCGAAAATGTCTATATTTGGGCCAGTGTTACCTAACAATTGCCGACCACTGCGATACACGGTTGCAAGTCGTTATTTTACATCCCAGGGTTAAGAATTGAAATTCGTTACATTTGTATTATCATCGTTACGGATTACGCAGACTCATGACACAGGTGGTTGGCTATGAATGAATGATAAACCTTAATTTAATCGGACACTGAGTAATAATATGCCCTATGTTTTACTACAAGTTTGCTAATGCCAAACCCCACTGATACATTTTAAAATTCCTTTTTTGCGGCAATCCGGTAGCTCTAAAAATCGAGCGCATCTTTCCCCCACGCCTGTCTCTGATGCTTCACGAAGTGCCTTGGCGATATTTATATAAAAATAGGCAATAACTCACCCTGTAGTATATCCAGGTCAAGACATGGATGATTCCCATCACCGTGCAGTTCAGGATTATGTGCCAGCTGTAGAATATCGGGAGTATCATCAAATTGTGCATGTTGTTGGAATCCCATTTCTCCCCGCCGATCGGTCGGAATAAGATGTAGGCCAGATGGAATAGCCAGCTTCCCATCTAAATGCAAGAAAAGTTATAAATTTTAATCTTCACGTTTCCTCGATGTAGAGATACAGGCAAGCTGCATGTCGAACCCGGAAACTCATCCGCCCGGAAGTTGCATAAATTTGACCCCGACCCTGATTTCTGATTCGCGGTTAAAAAGGATACGAATTTTCAATATTTTTCCTCAAAACTTTCATCTGACTTTCCTACTGATAGCTATTCAAAATAAAACGACATCACAAGCAGCGGATTAAAGAAAACACACGTTTTTGCAGAAACTCTTGTTATCAAAAGTTGTTTCTCGGAGTTCGGGGTCAAAATTTTTGTAAATTCGGAGCCGATTTTTATTTGGAACCGGATGTTGAAATATCCGACTTCTCGGCCCTGCATCATTTACAAGAATTCTCTTAGGGTTACAGTCAGTGATCTCTCTGCATCGAACATAGTGGTTACAGCCGATAGTCTGATCCGACTAAATCCGGGCCTCAACTCATGCAAACCCATTTCTATAATGAATCAGCGAATTTTTATAATGAACCCGTTCCCGTTTTTAAAGCTATAAGTCTGGCGTAGATTTTTGAAACGAGGGAACCAGTTGTTAGTGAGTGAAGACACAGAACACAGAAAAGAATCCGTTCTAGAACTTTTGAATTAATACATGTTACATCAGGGCTTCCCCAACTTTTAGTCTCGTTACCCTTTCAAATATATTAAAATTTTTCACGACCCCTTGTCTTGCGATCTAAGTCGGCATTGTTACGGAAGCACCTCGTCTCTGATCATTTATATTTGTGTTTCGCACTACATTGGCACATTAATATATGTGTTTCGAATCAAAAGTCAAAAAAAGTACAATAGATATAGTACTTTATGTCACTTGGTCTACTCTTTGTGACCTCTAAAATTCGTTGCTCGCACCCTTGCGGGGTCGCGATCCCGAGTTTGAAAAGCCCTGGGTTACAGCCCTTGGTTTGAAAATATTAAAATTCAATTAAACCATACCTGCATGATCAGCAATGTATGCAGCCATATCAATTTCTGATCAAACGGTCTCCATACTTCCAGTGTTAACGACGCACACACAGCAAGGTTTGCGTACAGAAGTAGGCCATGTGCTTCCAGTTCTAATTCTCCCTAAAGAGAAAGTTGATAAATTGGTGATTTTTTGTAAACGTAACATTATGTAGAGCAGTGTTCTTCAACTTTTTTGTGTTATTGCGGAACCCCTGATATCATTTTTCATTTTTTATGGAACCCCAAATAACAAAAATAAAACACGAAATACTCCGTAACACAAAATATTTGTAAATCAAATATTTCTACTTCAACAACGAAACAGAAAAAGGTAACAAGTGTGAAATTCAATGACTAGGTTGTTCTTGCATTTTCTTTGCAATTTCTTGAATTCTCATACTCATGTCTACACTCTTTAAACAACTTCGCAACGACGCATCAACATGCTGAAGCAAGAAATGATTTCCCCTAAAAAAAAAAACGTGGAACCCCCAAGGAACCCTATAAACTCACGGAACCCCACTGCATGTATTGCGGAACCCTAGGGTTCCGCGGAACCCCTGTTGAAGAGCACTGATGTAGAGTGTATATAATGCGGATTTCGAAATTTCAACGCCCCTTTTTTGTCACTATTTTTTTCTGTTTAACTTCATTCTACATGTTATAAGTACAGGGATGGCGAACCTTTTTTCAATGACTGGGTCAAAAATTATATTTTATCACGGAACGAAAGAGTGTGGGTCACAGATATTTAATCAATGTTTAAATCTATGAGAAACTTTCTGCTGCATATCATCTTACAAATCTTTGTAAGATCTTTGTTTTGTGTACAAAAACACCCATATGAATTACCAAAAGCGTTTAGGATGATGCGGCAGATTATTTTATGGCGCTAAAGAGTTTGGAGGGAATTCCACTCTGATAGAGTTATATTTTTTGATCGACTTTCAAACACATTCAGGCACTTTCACACTGCCCCATTGTTATTTCAGATTTTTAGGTCTTTATTTTAAGTCTAAAAGATTTTGTTTTCTCAACGGCATTGCAGTCGAGAAACTCATAAATGCAAAGTGGCATCTAGTTCTCGCAAACCCCCCAAAAACAATCTGCAGTGCAGTTTGGTTCCTGTTTTTCTGAAGGGGAACGCTGTAATAAGATAAGGCAACCGTATTTCGAAATAGACAATGACCATTTACCTTCCTAATACCATTATGGAATGGAAAATGCTATTTGTGTTTCATATTTTAAGCTGAATGATATAATACTATACTTTTAATTGGAACAGAATTCGATATGGTCCAATCGTTATTAAGATAACCGAAAGCATTAACAAAGTGTTCGCAATATTTTTCACCATTAACAAGACAACACGCTTTTTCATAGGACACGAAATGTACGTATCGATCGTTTTATTAATTGATATGTTGTTTCTTTTTAAAATAAAGTAATTCGTTCAATACAAGGGCATGCGCACTCTCTCAGAAATAAGGAATACAATATAAAATCATGACGACGCAATATACGTTAGTAAATATTGATTGAAGTCCGGGAAAGGATCAAATTAAACAGGAAAACTGAAATCATTAGCTACTCCTAATTTCGAATTTTAAAATACGACCCATTGGTAGGGCTGGGCATTTCGAATCGAATAGTAAATTATTCGAATCGGTTCAGAGCTGAATTTCGAATCGCCGCCATCTTGTTTTCATTTTCCCGCTAATGGTCGAGGTGAATTCCCCCTTTATTTTTTCATTAGAGTCATATTTATTCAACGAAATTCTAACATATGACTATTTTCTGTAGTGAGTTATTGATCTGGGTGATTTATTCTATGTCTTCAGTAATTCATTTGTTGAGAGGATCAATTACTATAATAAAGTCGCTTAAAATTATATATTTTCAAGTATTCGAGATTCGATTCGAAAAAATTATTCGATTCGATTTACCCTTCACCCTTCAGTTCATACATAAATCTCTTGTAGGCGAACGCTGAAGAATAACTGTGTGTGAAACAGAACCCCCGACTGTTATTAAAATATCACTAAGAAATAAAGGAGACACATCTCCGGGCAAAGTTACGAGCAATCAGTGAAAATTCAGGAGCTAATGAAACTACATAAGGGGACAGAGAAGGTTTTTCTTTACTTTCATATAAGTAATTATGACATTTATGTGTTGTGTTTTTGGAGATACATCCCATAAATTTGGATCTGCATTGCCGGTGCTCTAAACTTAAAACAGTACAAATACGGGTACTCCCGTAGTATGTGAACCAAGATGGCGGACACCGGAACGTGGTACAGGTTAGGGTTGGGCCATAATTTTATTCCAATTTTCCTTATTTTAGTTCTAATACGAATTCGAGGACTAGCCAAGTGACTCCCGTAGTATTTGTACCTGAAATTATGGCCTAACCCTAACCTGGCACACATACTACGTTTTGGTATCCGCCATCTTGGTTCACATACTACGGGAATACCCTAATACGACCCATTGGTCACGTACCATTGTGTAATGCGGTCAGAGTGAACTGCCCTTTAGTTCACATATGAAATCCAACAAGTCTATTATGGATCTCAAGCAAACACGGAATCTTGATATATTCGTTCTTGCGACCGCCCCTCAAACATCAAACAAATGATAGCGCCGTTTTCAGTTTGAATGACAGTTCATAAAACTCTTATGTGGTAGGAAAGCGAAAACCATAAACAAAATCTCGTTGAGGGGAACGGATTACGGAATTAAGAAATTGATAATGGATTTTTTTCATATTCGCATTGAAACTATAAAATTGCAGTTAACAGTGAATGAATGAATGTTGAATGACAGTTCATAAGACTCTTATGTGGTAGGAAAAGCGGACTGTATGAGAATTCGCAACGATACATTGCGATTTCTGCGGCCGCTTGTAAAAAGCCTTGTTCGTAGCGAACGCGTGCATTAGCTTCGTATTATAAAACGAATATACGTAATAGTAACCGTGCGCAAGATCTCGTTGATTGGGGGAGGTATTCCATTATCAAGAAATTGATAATGAATTTTTTCACATTCGCGTTAAAAAAATAAAATAAAATTGCAGTTATCAGTGAAATATCGATGTAACTCAAACCAGGTATATATTGTAACTACTGTATGGCGAAATGGTCGAAAGCCCCCCTTAACCGCCTATTCTCGTTCGATGAATGTCTGCAAAACAGGAACGTCTCCGACAATTCTAAAATGTCACAAAAATAAAAATTCTCCATCATGCATTCCGATTTTTTGTAGCTTGAAGCGCTTTTTAGTCCCTAAGGACTCTTGAAATACCCAACGACCGGATCTTAAGCAAACACGGAATGATATATATTTGTTCTTGCGACCGCCCCTCAAATATCAAACAAATAAAAGCGCTGTTTTTAGTTTGAATGACAGTTCATGAGACTCGTCCGTGATAAGAAAGCGAACTAATGAATTTCGTCACGATAAACTGAATTTATGTGCCCGCTTGTAGAGAGCCTTGTTCGTAGCGAACAGCGCGAATGAGCACGTATAATAAGACGAATTGACGCGATGAAGTATTGTACGCAAAATCTCGCTGAAGGGGAAAGTATTCCATAATTCAGAAATTGGTATTTTAATTTTTCACATTGCATGGTCGGACCTCCTTCCTCCCGATGAACCGCCTACGCTCGGTCGATGAATGATCTCGAAACAGAGCGTACGATAAATTGGGTTCCAGTTTCTGCTTATATAGGGCGTTGTTTATAGGGAACATCGTCAATGAGCTTCGTATAAAAATAGCGAACATACACAGTCTATTTTAACAATTAGGGGGGGGGGGGACTCGACTAAATAGATAATCGTATTTTTCATATTTGCATTAAAATGCAAATTCTATTGGTCAAATAGTGGAGAACGATTAAACGAAACGTAAATGATTTTATCCTAAGTTCGAATACTTTCTCGTTATATTTGTTAACAACTCATATCCAATAACAAGTTAACAAGACAAGAATCACAAGCAACCAAGCGTAACTCTCGCATCATGATGAAAACTTAATTGATTTAATTTCACACAAGCAGACTCGGAAGTGGGCCAACCTCACACTTCATTCATAAAACCTATCGTGGGTTGAGAACAAACATAAGACAATTGAGAACTATTTGCCTGTGGTATCGAGTGTAAAAACTCGTACGGACATTGTTACATAATAAAAATATAAGAGATCCAAATAGCTGGTTGTTCGAAATTTTTAATAGCGTTTTGAAGACCCTATTTGGAATCGCACTATCTATGACAATGTATAAAGCTATATATAGAGTTCTTAATCAGTTAGTGTCTTCTTGCAGCCCTTGTATTAATTATCTAGTTAGCAGCAGTATTGTACTCGGGACCTATATCTGTCATCTCCATGAGAAACTTACATTGAATTTTCGGTGCTCCCGAAGTATTCCTACCAAGATGGCGCACAACCTGAACATAGTATTGTACCAGGTTAGAGTTGTTCAGGTTGTGCGTCATCTTGGTGCGAATACTTCCGGAGCGCCGAAGTTTCTCACAAGCAAACTTGAAAGTGGGCCAACCTCCCAATTCATTCATACAATCGTGGGTGCTTGCATTCATTTTAAAGTGATCTATATAGTCATGTTAGGGTAGGGTGACCCTTTTAGCATATTTAAGAAAAACTTTTATTCATCAAAATGTAAATCTAACTGAATTTTCTCACAAGCAGACTCGGAAGTGGGCCAACCTAACAGCTCATTCATAAAACCGATCGTGGGTTGGGAGCAAACATGATACGATAGAGAACTGTTTGCTTGTAATTTCGAGTGGCAAACACTGGGTACATTGTTACATAATATAGTGTATTTAGCAGTTCGATGATGGGGTCATTGAAATTAGAAATTACAAAGTATGGCATCATCGGGCAGGAATTATGATGTCATTATGTCTATTGCTACACAAGACGGACATATTTCACAATGCCGTTTAAACGCTGATCTATTCGGGCCTCAATTGGAGCAAAAAACTACGAAATGTGACGTTATAATACAAAATGTCGTCATAATTCATGTGTGACGTTATAATAATGAAAAACTTAACCTAGTATTGTTTAATATCTCACAAGGCGGGAAATTTTCTCGTAGCTTTTTAGTGCAAAAATAAGTACTCTCCTAGTATGTATGTATACAATGTTAGGGTTAGGCCATAATTTTATTCCGATTTCCATGTTTATGGAAGAACAGCAGCAAAGCAGTGATATAAAACGCCATGGCAACTACCCTGAAATCGCCCCTCGTCGAGAACCCCTAGTCTAGCTAGAGCCCTCTTTCGAGTGAAAATATCAAAGCAATTCTAAATCATCCATTGACTAAATGCAGGTACTAAATTAACATCCTGCGCCAAATGACAAAACGTAGCTTCCCATGTTTATGAAATAATAGCTGTAGCGCAGTGATAATAGCGCAAAAGTAAAATTTTTACTAATTAGAAAACGTACCTTCCCGTGCTTATGGAAAAACAGCAGTAGCGCAGTAATATAAAACGCCATGGCTATTATTGTTTTCTCGAGAGTTGTTTCCCGTTCTTTAAGAAGTTTTTGGCTGATGATATCGACAATTCCGCTGATCATGAATGCCGAATACATCGTGAAGTGTTGCCATTCGTTCATATGGACCCAGTTTCCGTTGCTATCAAGGAGGATTAACTTGTTTGTGCCTGTAATACAAGTCGCATTAATTATATCAGTTAGAAATGTGGAACTATATGGAGGAGGCCAGACTCCCTTCTCTAACGGCGATACAATCACTTTATCCATACCTATTTGCTTTTGCCTATTGTTGTAATTGTAATAAAATGAGCAATGTCGAACTGGGAGGATTCCGGTCTTTTTAAAATTATTAGCCCACTGAATAGATAGGACCCGTCTCCGGCCTTGTTGTCAGACAAAATAATGGCTTTTTATGTATCAGTTGACGCATGTATACAGCTTTTGGAGTTTTACCTAGTTATGTTATATAAGCTGAAATATTTTTTGAATTAAAATATCAAAGTCTTGATTTTTCCAACTTTTTAAGTAAGGATTCGAAGAAGTTCTGATTTTGTAATTGTCTCTTCAGGCATGAAGATTATTGCCAATCTATAATTCATGAACTCAGAACGAGCCTACTATACCTGGTGGGTAAAATAGTTCCGCCATTGCAGCCCCGAAGCCGTAAATGATCTTCATGAATGAATCGAGTGGAAACTGTCTCACCCTGTAGAATAAGAAAAAATAATTAGCAGGTAATCCATTAGGTTTCCCAGCAACAAAAATTGTGGTTTTGCGGAATGTGGAATTATTAAATGCTGTTTCGGCTCGTGTCAAATTTTGGAGAGTTAATTCCAATTATTTCCCAATTATTCAAAAAAAAAAAGTTTTAAGTTGATAGTTCTCGGAGTAGAAAACAAATTTGGCTCATAATAAACCTTTAAATGGCTCGGCATCTGATGGGTATTTCAACTCCACAGCGTCTGTGGGAATGTCAGACTAGATATACCAATATGTGAGTTATTTAATTAAGTAAAACATTTGGGGTAGTTTGATATCCTTCTTCACAAAACTATCGTGATGCCATTTAAACGATTGTATGTGTATAACCAGTAAAGAACTCGCAGGTTAGGGGGATGCGAAACAACTCTATAAAGGAAACATCGTCTATTTTTGCGTACTTTTGTTCAAAGCAAAATTACGAAATATTTCAATAAACATGTACTCACTTAGAATATACTTTCCCAAACTTTGTATTAGTTTTTGAAGGCATCCGATGAAATTTACGGCCTCGTGTGAAATAAGCCCATGAGTTTTGGACGCAGAATACAATCCCGAATGAGTAGAAAGCTACTCCCGGTGATATATGGCCTTCCCATGTACCCATGTCTATTATTAGAGATTAGGCTAACTCTAAGATAACACTGTACAGGTTTAAAGTTTAAAATAGTGAAGTTTTAAAAATAAAATTTCTGTCTACTAGAAATTGTTGCTTTAAGACGTAACAGGTCTGCAATTGCAGCATCGTATGTGCAACACTTTTGAATTTTAAAATCATAGAAAGACACTGCTCAGGTCAAGGGTTTAAAAAGTAAAATCGGATCGGAACCCCAGGCCTACGACCCAAGTCCCCCCCCCCCCCATTCCAAAGGTAACAAAAAAAAAGAAAATTTTATGTATCATACATAGCAACATTTGTAGCTTGAAGATTTTTGAAAACCCATGTCCCTGATATTTGAAGCCCATGTTTTCTGGTTCCTCTAGCTGTCACTGTCTAACTTGGCTGTTAGAAGATTCAGAATCCCCTCCTCCCTATCTGACTGATAGATGGGTTACATACGACTAATAACGCATGAAGACTGATAAATAAACGAGAATATCAGTGGGAGACCGAAGACTTATCGATCGAAACTGCCGTTTCGAATAACTCTATAGTGACACCCATCACTAATGTCCCATCACTAATTAATTAATAACTCGCTAATTATGCCACCTAATTCATTCAAAATAAATACTCTCCTGGTCCGAGCTATGATAATGCACATGCAAAATTTGCAAAATCAACATACTCACCGATCTTAAGATTGATGGGTAATAACTCGGTCTTCTCGAAATCCTACCAAGATAATTGAACGCGTTGTCTGCCCGCTTGACCATTTATTTTTCGTTTCATGTTTCGTTGACGAGCAGTGACCATAGCGAATGTAAACAGACGACGTAACTTTGATAAGGAATACTTTCCGTGGTCATGTGACCAATTGCCTATTCTTCGCTCCACGTTTCCGCATATAACCTGGGCCAATTCTCAATACATTTTATAACCCAATTTGTGATAGTTTTTGGTCAAAAACACCAAAATTGATAAAATAAAAAAGGTAGGGTCAGAGTGGAATTTTCTCTGGGTGAAATCTTTCGTGAGCAATGTATCTTTGACGACAAGTGAACATAGCAAATGTAAACAGAGAAAGTAACTTGAACAGGAAATAATTTGCGTGATCATGTAACTGTCTATCCTTCATTTCTCCTTATACTTTATAACTTAATTTGTGATGATCTCTTTGGTCAGAAAACACCAAAATTAGTAGATTTATTCTTTTCTCAATAATTCCGTCAATATAGTAATTATTTTATCACTAATTATCTTATAACCATGTGAAAAATTAATTGTCACCTTACGTGGCGTCTAGAAAATTCTAAAACAAGTCGAATAGGACAATGTTTGAAGCAGGTGTAGGCAAGGTTTTTTGGACCAGAGGCCAAAATTTTCACCCATCTAGACTGGCGGGATATGTTAGTGTGGCGTGAAAAGTACATTTTATGAACAATATTTACAGTAATTTTGAGTTGGGTTGCGCGAGACTAACTTCCTATCTTTTCTCTATGCCTCTATGCTAGTGGATCCGTATGTGTATACTGCAAGGATACTGTAGCTGTAGCTGTAGATTGTTGTAAACTGCTTGTCTGAGGAAGTCTGGCTCTGGTCGGACGAAACGTTACAGAAACACATTTGTGTTAGTGTGCAGCTGGACTCTTTAATTGAATAGAATATTTACAATGTTACAAAAGAGTGGAAAACAATAAGTCTCGTGCCAAAACTAAATTCAATCGCAATCTCAACAATTTTCTTGGGCTATTTTTTTTTTTAGCTGAAACATCGAAATTTGGTTTTAGTTTAGTTGTGGCATCATCAGACGGGCCAGATTGAATTACCCAACGGGACAGATTTGGCCCGCGGTCGTATTTTCTCCATCCCAGTACAAAGCAACTTTTGATACAGGAGGGATAGATACAAAAAGGTCGCACTTTTGTTGGCATTAGAATATCCGTACGTACCAGACTTAAACTAAATCAAAACTCTTTTTGCGAGGCGCACACCGTTCAAAATTGGCACTTCTCAGCGGGCGGCACATTTTTTTTGTGAGCGCATTTGGCCGGCGGACCGCAGGTTGCACCCTGGTATAAAAAAATTATTTGAAAGTTACGGCTAGTTTGTAATTTTCTCTGGATAGAATATTTCGTCATCCCTCTCTCGTTGACGACAAGTTATGGTTACCATATTTTTTTGACTTCAAAGAGGGACGCCTCCAAAGACACGACCCCTTAGCTGTGATCCTGTAACTTTACAGTTTCCGATTTTACTACGTAGGCCTACATTTAAAGCCATCCTGGCTGTCTTCATTGACCATGTTGTCTTCGATTAGAATTGATTTTACATGTGATACGTTCGCTAACACTGTTAGCGGGAAACAACGAAACAAACAAAATAACTCATTCACCTTCAGTAAGTAGGCTAGCGTTGCGCTACACAGCAACAACAGTAACGAGAACATGTTCGTGTAATATGCTGGATGGCTTCAGCCAAAGCGGGACTTTTGGCTGACTTGTCGGGACGGCGGGACAAGACGCTAAAAAGCGGGACTGTCCTGCCTGAAGCGGGACGTATGGTAAGCCTACAACAAGTGACCATGGCAAACGTAAGGGGAGAACGTAACTTTGAATAGGAGAAAATTTGCGTAGTCATGTGACCCAAAACTGCCTATCCTCCGGTCCGCGTTTGACCGTGTCCCGGGTCATAAGATTGCTTGAAATGGCCTATTCTCCTTACACTCTGTATATCAGAGGTATATATTTTGCTTATTCCAACAATTTTTAGCTTTTTGAATTTGCCCAAAGCAAATTGCACGCTCACTCACATGTGATGGAAACTCTCTCTGAGCAATATAATATCACTTTGGCCCGAGTCATACGATTGCTTGAAAAATAGCGATTCTCCCTATCTCCGTGTATCAGTGGATCTCATCAATCAGGAATAAAATCTCTTTTTGATAATTTCGAATTTTTGAAAAAAATTGATGATCAGAGCAAAGTTGCAAATGAGGGAAGCAAACCCACGCCCGAGTGAGTTCACGTGCAACCATTTTATAGTACCAAGAGTGGCCCATATTCAAACGAGAATATCGGTCAGAGACCGAAGACCTATCGATCAAAAGTGAGGGGATCCGTCAAAACAGAAACAGTTTTGATTCATCCGCTCTCACTCCACAGCGACATCGTGTGTCCCATCACTAATTAATTTAAAACACGCTAACTATACGACATAATTCATCCAAAATCAATAGGCTTCTGGTCCGAGATACGATGAATGCACATACAAAATTTGGAGGAGATTCAACCTCGCTTTCGTGAGATATCAGAAGCCTATCTATTTTGGATGAATTATGTCGTATAATTAGCGAGTTATTAATTAATTAGTGATGGGACACGCGTAGTCACTATGGAGTAAGACTACTGTTTTGGGGGATCCCCTAACTTTCGATCGATAAGTCTTCGGTTCCCAACCGCATTCTAGTTTTCCACCTTTACCAATTTGGCCACTAATAAATACTACTAATCATACGGTGTTTATTCTAACAATCGCGGTATTTTCTCAATCACGTCCTGCGGCTCGAATCAGTTCGCGGTATAACTGTTTAAACCAGGGGCCGACAACCTTTTGTCGTTCGTGGGCCAAAATTAAAGGTTGCAGGTCATTGGCGGGTCGCACATATTTTTAGAAAGTTAAAAATCGAATGGATGACCGATGAATCACATTTTATCACACAGATCAGAAGTTGAATTTTAAGCAGCGCGCAAAGACTGACCATTCGAATAATTTTTGCGCCATCAAACCATTTGCACTTAGCATCAACTTTACTGCGTTTTGTTGCCATTTGTCTAAATTATAATTGAATTATAGGCTCATTAAACGAGTAATGTGAATTATATACTTGTTACGTTATAATATAATTTAGTCTACACGTAAATTCTTTTTCGTAGACAATATAATCGACAAAACAGCTATATTTTGTTACTACAATTCAGTAAAGCGTCGCGGGCCGGATTATATTGCTCCGCGGGCCGTAGGTTTCGACCCCTGGTTTAAACCCTACTAAACTGGTACCGTGTTTTAATTTTCTTTCGAAAAAATACCACTGGGGCTTATTTGGGGAGATGTATTTTATTTTCATTCATCAAAAACAAAATTACAATGAAGAGAATTCCGAGATTTTTAAATATACAAAATGCGAAAAAATTTATCGATTAGGTGTTATTTTAAGAAGAGGTCTTACATTAAAATCATTTTTAAAATTCAGGATAGGTATTATTTTCATGCTTGTTCTTATTATCAAAGAAACACGACCCAGCCAACATATTACTATGCCGCATTATCGACTTTCATCTCCTTAGCAAACATGAAACTTCTATTCTATTCACTTATCCGGCAACTAATAAATACTACGAGACTCACGAGTCCATCCAGCTATTGCGTTACTTTCTCCCTGGAGTTTGTTTTTTCTCAAAACAATTCAAGTTTACATTTCGCAATCTCATAGTCACGTGATTAAGTATTCCAAGCGAAAGAGTGACAAAGCACTAAAGTCGGTTCGCTCAGTTGTATAGTTAAAATAACGGGGCCACGCGGTTATTGCTGCGCTGCTCCCCGCCAAAATGTGTTATCGATCAAATCTTTATGAGCGCGATGGCCCAGAGCAGCTGTCCCGAAAGAGGCGAGTTGCTAAGTGCGCCATCAAAATTAATAGAATTGTGTTGAACATAAGTAATATACGATTGGATATTTTGAATAATTAAATTTAACGGTCATAAAAGCACCACATGTCGTTTAGTGTTTGCGCACATTCTTTGGTCACAAAGCAAAATCAATTTTTCAAAAGTTTTGGGTCGCTTGAATAAAAGGTTGAGAATCATCGAATCACTAAGCTAGACGATGTAGCAATATCATCACTTAACTTGAGCTGGAATAAACAGAAGCAAATTGAAACAGGTATTCAAATTTGTGGTTTGCTTATTTGCTATCAAATAAATTATGCGAACAGTAATATGTACATTAAAAGAAAGCCCGGGAACGTTGACCCACGT